AGTTGCTCTGAATCCCCAGAAGAGGTGAGATCTGAGAAAACACTGGGGATAAGACTGTGTTACTGGCAAACTGGTAGGGAAGTCACCTGAATAAGTCATATGTGTCATTCAGACTTTCCAACAATGAATGCTGGTATTTAAGGCCTTCAGTTACATTGTCTTTTGTTGTTTTATTTGGGGATTTTTTGGTCTCTGGTATTTTCTTCCTGTTGCAAGGTGTTTTTTTGTTTTTTCTGTGGGGTTTTTTTTGCCTGTAGAGTACAGCTACTTGATGTATTAGTTGTTAGATAGAAGTTGCTCTAATGCACAGCTTCCTTTCTTCTCCTCCTAGCCCCGCAAGGATAGCTGTCACCCTCACCAGCTGGTACTATCTAGATTAAAAATAGACATCAGCTGCACAATTGCAAATTTCTCCTGAGGATACCAACAGCAAGAGAGTTGACTACAATTCTTCACTCAGACAGCATCTAAAAACACATTAGAAATGACATCTCTCTCAACTTCTAAAGTTCTTAACAGCATTCACTCTGGCCTTGCCCTCAGAATCTGTTTCCACCAACTCTCCAGGATAATCAGCTGCCTGCTACCAATTAGTCTTGATAAACTAGCAAGGATATAGCCCCACTAAAATGCTGGCAATAGCTGTAAGGATTTTAACTGCTCAGAAGCAAATTATTAACCTCTGGCTCACCAGATTCTGAGTTGAACTCATTTTCCTTTTCATGCTTAGATATTTGTAAGAGAGAGAATGTCAAAGCACCTAAGGTATGTATCATTGTATTACCTGTAACAGATGATGAAGAAGATCACCAGCTGGTAAAATTTGTTAGGAAAAAATCTGTTCTCATTTCATAGAAAATTCAATCTGCTTAATTATACCTTCAAAACACTAGATACATCAAAACTACATTCTTTCTTCACTGCAGTATTTAAGTGGAAACAGGAGGGCTTTAAGCATGGAGGCTGAATGTCAGGTTCAGAGGTAAACTCCCAGTTCTTTTGTTGACTTTCTGGGTTACCTTAGGTAAAGCATTCTTGTGTTTCAAATGGGGACTCTTTTTTTTTTTTTCTCACTTTGTCTCTTATATCACTGACACTTTTAAAATGGTTTTGGGAATTATTTAAAGGTATATTTCATCTGTAAGATGGAAACTCAGAGGATGAGGTGTAGGTGCTATTCTAACAATGCCAGAATGCTACTCACCATTTTATCCTCTAATGAAGCAAGATGCAAGGCTGTGCTTTCCCAGTACGAGAAGAAATGTGTCCCTCAAAGTTTGAACTCCTATGTTACAGAGATGAGATATTTATACTGTGTTAGAGCTCCATGTGGTACCTAAAGTAATTCATGTAGGCTAAGGCTCATAGTTGCTATTATAACACAATAAAACTGAAATAGCTGAGAATAATGCTATCCATTTCACTATGTTATAAAAAAGAACATAACAAAAAATCAAAATCAGAAACACAAAGGCAGACAAGGAAGGGAACCAGGAGAATCTCCTCATGCCCTAGCATGAGGGGCTGTGCTCTCCATTCAAACCGATGCGAATCTGCACAGTGCTGACCCATTAGTTCACACAGATTAAGGGACTGAAATGATTTTCTCCCATCCTGATTTTCCTGGAGCTGGAGTGCACAGCCACTGCTGTGCTCTCGTTGGACACTGTCAACTGCTGTTAATGAAAATTAGCTGGGTGAGGTGTAGGGCAGCTGCTGCCCAGACTCTGTTGTTCAGCAGGGATTTCCAGTAAAGCTTCCTGCTATACTGACCCTCAGCTGACTGTCAAGGTCTGTTTTGGGTCAACAGGACATAGATAAATCAGCCTGAAGCAATATAGTTGAGTGTGTCTCCTTTCTGCATCTTGAAATGGTCAGTGAGAAGATTCCTAGCTTTCCTTCTTGGAGTTCTTTAAAATAATCACCCTGCATGTTCTGTTTATCTGTACAAGACCTGAAGTCTAGAGAAATTAGCATCAAACAGTATCCACATTTAAGGAAATATTTATCTAGTCAAAATCCAAGCAACACAAGGGGAAAGATAATTTTTCATGTCTGCCTAATAATTCAAGAAAACAAACAATGAAATACAGTTTTAAAAATACATGCTTCCTTACAATAATTTTATAAACTGTGCTGTCATCTCATAAAGAATCTGGATGGTTGCTGTGGTGACAAAGATTATCCTTGCTGCTGCTTGATTCTGTCATTTTTCTAAACATGAATTCGTAATATTTAGGATTTATTAACAATGTGTCACATTGATAGAGATAAATTACATGCTTTAAACTGCCCATGTAAGTCTTCTATGATATTACAACCACTTTGTCAACTCAGCAATAAGATATGATGTGATTACTACAAAATTAAAGCTATTTGTCATAAAAGATGAAGCAGAGAGTATCAGAACTCTCACAAAACAACAACAAAAAAATCTCTAGTAATCTAATGTTTCCTGATTTTAAATACTTTGAAGTTAGAAAATAGTTACTATTTTCTGTTTTGTAAATTGATCCAGTTTAGCTTATATTGAGACTAGATTTATTTGTATGGGAAAATTTAGGATGTAATGTACCAGAATTAATGTGATCCAGGCTGAAATTTTTTATGATGGTTCAGACTCTAATGGGAAATTTGTGAAGAGACCTTAATGATGGGATGCTTTGTAGTATATAAAGTCATATGTGCACACACTTGTCTATTAAGAAGATGTACTTCACTGCTAGGAATTTGTGTATGTTTCTTTGTGATGTGTATTATCCTAATTGTAGCAGAAAATTAGATGAGATTATCAGTGTGGCTGTCTAAAAAGTGTATTTTTGTGCACCTTACTGAAATATTTGTTTGAAGCAAGCTTCACTGCTGATACTAAGATTTATTCTTATTTTATATTTATTTTTTCAAGAAAAACTGGCCTTTTTTCTGTAGTGAGACATAATACATGGTAGAAATGCAGCAGAGATGAGGCATTTTAAAGCAAGCAAGGAATATGTGTCTAAGTGACTCTGCCTGAAGAATATAATTTATTCATATGCATCTCTATATGTAGGGTGACCACTTGAACTGGGTGAGATATGTCTCCACTGTATGTTGTAATGCAGAGGAAGTGACTCAGCTTTCTTTAAGTCCCCTGAGTCAGAGTTTGGAAGCAGCCTGGAACAGTGGCATGGAAAACTGCTCAGATGTGCCCAGAATTAGGGAGCAATCTTCCATCTGTTCCGGTCTTGCAACATTCCTACCATTTATGCTACCTAAACTACACCGTGTAGCCCTTTAAGCAAAACAAGTGGGGAAAATTCTGAAAATCAAGCAACAGGATTCTCTCAGCTGATAGAAATAAAATATCCTTACATATTTAAAAGAAAAATAATCCAGGCTCAGCTGAAATACAGTAAATCAGTAGAGTATATTTCTTCCTATTCTCACCCTTTCAGGTTTATAGAACAATAAATGAACTACACACCCGGGCTGAAAAGAGCAAGTTGAAAAGTGAATAAAAACTCCTTTTAGCCTAACGACATCATATAATTAGCTTAGTTATGTTTCCATACATTAGTGGCTAACTAAGTGATGTATTTTAGTCCTTGTTACTCTTTACCTCAGTGAAATAATATTCTCACTATCTGGAGACAACCTAGCCTGATGCCATGGAATAGTTCTGGTTTTGCAAACCACACACAATAATTATTTCAGATACCAAATACTATGCAATGAAAACATTCCTTATTATTTTCAAGGACTTATGTAAATATCTGTGGAGGGAAAGCTCCATTTCCTGCTGGATTTCTTTGGCAATGTGTATCCTGAGAAAATAACTAAGGTTGTAAGTGAAATATTTCACTCATTTTCAATAAGCATTAGAGTAGCTTCTTAGACCTGATATGCAATAATTTGCATAACTTTTTCTCTGTTGGATTCATTTTGTGGTCAGTGCTCTTGTTATTTAGACCCTGCAGACTACAGGTAACACTGAAATACAAGAAGGCATCTCCCAGAGTCTAGTGAGGGAGTTTGCATTTACTTTTGTTGAAAACTAATTTCATACAGTATTTTAGAGCAGTTTCCTACTGTAGGAAATATGTGCACAATATGATAAACCAGGCACTGTGTATAGTCTTAATGACTTTATTGCACAGCTGTAATAAATGCCCTTTAAATTTCTACAATTGTGTGTAAAGAGGGCTATGAACATTTGATTTAATTCTGGTTTGCTTTTTTGAAAATTCAACATTTTACTTTTTTTTATATTATCCTGGTTTTGACACAATAAAGACAGTAGAAAAAAAATATATATGGAGGTATATAACAGTAATTTAATATCCATATTGCAGCTGAAAAATTTCATTCAAAAGGAATGGCAGATAAATAATGTACCCCTTCCTCCTCTATGAAGACAGTTCTCAGTTTTTGGTGTACAACATGATCAAAATGAGTCATTCTCTGAGACAACAGTCACTAACACGGGAACTTTTCATCTCTATAGTTTATATAGAGTATTGAGTTTTATTGTGTGTTGGAGATCCCAATTCAGTATGTGAGCTTTAAACATTTTAGGAAATATAGTAAAAAGAACATTTTTTCCTTCCAAAGGTAATCTGGAAAACATAAAATAGTAATCTTAGTAAAAAACTCAAAATACATAAAAAAATGTTTAGTAAAAGCATTTTTTTCTGAATCATGACCAACATGTTACTGTATAGGTATTACAGATCAGCAAAACCTATTCTTACCTTTAAAAGTAGCTTATGGCTCAGTTAAAAACAAAGTAATCATTAAAGGCAGCTAAAGTTGTGATTTATTTCCATATATATTGTCTGTGTAAATATATAAAATTGAAATATATTGTATATAACTCTGACTATGCAGGTGATAAAGCTGTGGTGCAGCCATAATATTTTAAGCACTTTTTGACTTTTTTTTTAATATGAGAATGCATCTGATATTTTTGTGTGTGAAAGCTATTTTAATATTTATAAATCTGTGTCGTATTTTTTTTTCAGAAATTCAAAACCAGAAGACAGAGAAACCTGAAAAACGAACACCAACGAAGGGTAACTGTTTTTTTGTCTGTTTTCCCACATATATTTGTGTAACATACAGTGCTTTTGTTAACTACATAATTTTTAGGTTTTTTTTAACTTGGTTAACTACTGCCGCTGTATCACAGAAGCATTCAAAGATCAGTTGGCACAGACTGCAAATGATCAAAAATTCATGTATACCTTAGCATTAACAAAAAATTTGTAATTTTATGCTTGTGTAGCTAGATTGAAAATGCACATTCATAATAAGATTCTTCTGCCCAAACTTTTTCAGAAATCTTTTTTCTACTGAAGGTTCAAGAAAGTTGAGTGTTGATGAACTTCCTTTGGTGCAAAAGGCATGAAGTGTGTTGGGCAAGGAAAAAAGCAAATTCATAGGCCAGTGGGTGCCATCCAAGTTAGGAAGTCATAGTTAAGAGGGAGCCAGGTGTGTATCAGAGATAAGAAAAACTTCCATTTTAAGAACCTGCTCTTTTTCAGACTGTTTAATCTCCTATAACTGGCACTTTCCAAAAATCTACAGAGGAAGTGGTTTGGACTGATTTTCAGAGGTTGTATAAACAAAGGTGTTTCCTGGGATATCTGAAGGGGTTTTTTTGCCTAACAGAGCTCCTCCATAAGGGCCAGGCCACATAAGACTTGAGGAGCATCCCTCTAAAACACCAGTGCTGAGCTAGATTGTGGCAGGGGGAAGCAAGAAAGAGGCTTATTAAAAATGTTGTGTATACACATACACCCTCCCTTATGCAATTATATTCATTTCTATATGTATTAGTGTGGTTTTATAGTATTTTACATATCTGTAAAATATTTTCAAAGTATTTTTCACCTCCAGTTCTGTGCTAATCAGGATTGTCTGGACTGACTAGAACTGTTTCCCAGCTATTTAATAAATCATGGTTTTATCAAAGTGAATTTTTTAGGGTACCTGGGCAAGCCAGGTAATAATGAACAGAGATCCATTAGCAAGGATCGCAGTTAAGGTCTTTTCAAGCAAAGTAATATAAAACCACAAATGATGCTGCAATTTTGACTGAGACAGCCTCTTGTGTTCCATTTCATCTATGTAAAAGTGCATTTCTTTACACAGAACAATCTTAACATTGCAGAAATTATAACAAAGAAAGTATAAGATGCCAGAAAAAAAAGTGTTCAGGTTTCATTAGCTAAGTCTCATTATTATGTGCCTGATAATGCAGTCTCTAGTTACACAATCAGTTGCTGAAGAACAAAACAATTTTTTTTTCTATATTTTGTTTTCATGTTTAATACCAACAATGTGACTTGTACATAGGAGGAACAATTACAAGAATACATTCTATCTGGCCTCTGTCTACATTGTGATAAAGGCATGAATCCTTAGGGAATTTTACTGTTACCTTCTAATTTACCTTCAGGAAATATATACAGATACTGTCTTTTATTGTTTTTCATAGGAAAAATCCAGAAGTAAAATGAATATTTTTAATAGCAGGAAATGGAAAAAAAAAATTTCTGTCTTCTGCCCAACATGTGGGAACACTAGAGTTTTAAAAGTAATTTAATTATATTTTTGAATAGTCAAATCCTCTGAGTACAAGTCCCACAATTTACAAGGGAGTCCAATCTAAAAGCCTCATTTTTGAAAGATTGAGCTGAAATATGAGGAATGGTTATAATGAATAAAAATCCCAGATGGAAGTGACTGAAATTAAAAGATTCAAACAGTATTGAGAACCAGGCAAACTGGTGCCCTAAAATTTGCTTTTAATTAAATATTTTGATAAACTACTAGCAATAATGTCTATTTCAATTATTGTAGCAAATTTAATCCTGGAAAGAAGAAATACTCCGCGAAACAATTTGACAAAGCCATTGGTCATGCTTAAGAGCTCTGAAATCAAATTATTTCATGATGACTTGTACACATAAGCATAAATTCACTACAAAGTACGGTCTTTCCAATTTGGTGTTTGAGATATTATTAATTTCATGAGTGCAGTGGCATGCATGACCAGGAGCTTGGTCAGCCAGCAGAGGCACAAGGGATTGATTATCTTCTTGTACACAATTCTCCTGAGCATCTAGATATTATGTTCTAGATCGATTTTGCAGGACTCTGAGTTGCTGCTGGAGCCTGTTTAAAAAATAGGTGATATAATTGTCATTAGTATTATTACCAATAAGAGTTAATTATGCATTGTTTTGGCAAAAAAGTAAGAATAAAAATAAAAAATATGGAGATAAAAGTATATGTAAGTACAGAAGTTCTGTCTAATGGAAGGTCCAGTGACATTTTCTGATTTTTATGAAAAGCTGATCATACCAGTGAAATGACATGTCTTGCATTTCTGGGAAATAACTCTAAATAAACCAGGCATTGAGAAGGAATGGGAAAAGGTTGATTTACTGTGGTTTTTCCCAAAATCACTTCACTAATTCATTGCTGTTGGAGTGAGATATGGAGAAAAAAATATAATGATGGTTAATTGCTGTAGCTGGAAGACAAAGACTTGAGACAGCCTAACAGATAAATAGAGCTAGACCACACAAATCCTAGTATGCTAGAAACCTACATATTTTCAACAAGTTAATGAACTAAAGAGCGTATTTCATACACAGATAAATCTGTCTAGCCTGATTTATCAAGGTACAGCAACAACTATGCCTGTGTGAACTTTAAACTGGAGAACTTGGTACAGATAGCAACGTAGCTGTATTTTCCTTAAATTAAGTATTTGGACCTGACAGACCAACCCTATTTTTTTGTTCCAGTGTTCCTTCAAGAAGAATTAACTCATCTAAAGTTGCTTTACTTCCAAAAGAAAGCATCTACATGGAGATTTAATGCTCTCTGACTAATGCACTCTAACTTCATTGTATTAGTTCATTTATCTTAACTTTCCTGAGAGTGCTGCCCTGTAGACAAGCACTTAGTCTGTTAGCTGGAGCGAGCAATCTCTGCTTCATGCTTGCTGCAGTCATCACCTGGCTTTGTACTTAGCAGCAGACTTAAGACTTACTCAGCTGGAAACTATTTTTGCTTCTCTTAGGCATGGAAGTAGTGTCTTACTACATCTCTTCTTCTTGCACTTTCTGTTTTGGAGTGTGGAGCGTCTTTGTTGGAGAACTTTATTGAAGAAAAACTAAATCACCTCCCCCCTCACCATGTCTTCAATTTGATACAAATAAAATCTGTGAAGATGATTGAGATTAGGAAAATCCTCTTACATATTTGCGATGCTTCTTATTTTTATTTTTCTATGAAGCAGATAGCAATAATAAGTTTGGGACACATTTTTAAATTACTTTAACATTTTCCATTATAAGCTTCTATTTTAGATTATTTATAAATTTATCATACTCCAGTCACTTAGGTTGAGATTTCCCATGTTCATCTTTTTGCCTCAGGCTGAATATTCATTCATTCAAAGACATGCAAAAATGTTTCAGCAATTTCCAAAATCTAGGTTAGTGAAAATTAGGTTGGGGTGTTATATTTTTTCCAGTGCTAATAACACTTCAGTCTGAGCTTAAGACTATTTAGTATTTGCAAGGAAGTCCAAGAAAATTTCTTTTAATTTGTGGGAAAATCTTACCTTCCACAGTTGCCATAAATCTACTTGGTTTTTAAGTCTAATTATTTCTTTCTTATGGATGTCACCAGCATCCTAGTAGCATAAGTAACAAAAGAGGTGATCTTGTAATTGCAAAATGTGTCACAAAGCTAATAAAATTATTATTAGTAAACTGTTCTAGTTTCAGAATTTTTCAGCTGAAAAGTATGTAAGTAGCCTTAAAACCATCTTTATATGCTTGGTGGTTTTTTTTGTGGTTTTTTTTTTTGTTTGTTTTTTTGTTTTTTGTTTTTTTTTAATATGGCAAAGAAAATCCAGTCAACTCTAATTTTTTTCAGAGAAACATGGCAGTATGGCCAGCCTGAAAAATTCTAAAATCTAATGATTGCACCTAGAATTGTGGGCTTGAAAAAGGGCATGTATTAAGCCCTTTACAAAGAAAAACATATCCAAGTTACACAATATGGAAAAAATCTGTAGAGTGTGATGTATTTTCTATGACAGATCTTTTATGACTGTTGAACTCTCTTTCCGGGGGGGAGTTAATATGCTAAAAAGTATCAGATTTAAATTTGTCAGATCAAAAGCTTCAGTGGATTTTGTTGGTCTTGTGATTGCAGTCAAAAATGGCCAGTGATCACAGCCCTGAAACATGAACACTTTAATTTTTGGCAGCACCTGCCCTTCCCGAATAAGGGAAGCCATAGCTCTGACAGTGCCCATAAGAGGTAATGATAAACATTACAATCTGAGATTAGCAGCCTCTGAGGCTATGGGGATATCAACACACAGGATAAGGCTCTCAAACTAACCTTCACTGAGATCACCTTCAGCCTATAATTGGGAAGAGAAAAATAGCTTATGCTTATGCCAGCCTGGTCTCTTCTTATCCACATTCCAGGCTCCCTGCCCAGATACATCAAGTTACTTTTCTTTCTCAAGAAGGAGCCAACTGATCCCTCCCTCATGTTTTAAGCTTTAGTCCACACAAATATTAATATTTCTTCACAGTTTTGCTGTTTGCATCATTTAGATATGAAACAAGTTTCAATTAGATTCTTCTGTCCACTTTCAGGTCTACTGATGTATGGAAAATCTACAATAAATTTTTAAAAGCCCACAATAATCTCTCTTACTCAAGTGAGATATCCTGTGGATAAAAACAAGCTTTCTGATTATCAGTCCATTCTGCATAGTTCAGCTGTATTTTTTGGCAGAGACTATAAGAGCTTTTGTCTGAATGTGCAGAAGAAGCTCATATTTCACTCTCATTGACCATCACAGAGCTGTTGTTTCCAAAATTGTGCTGTTGGTCCAGCCAAAACTGACAAAAGTGTTTAGCATAGAGCCAACATCTGCTAATACAAGTGCAAGATGTAAAAGCATGATACAGTTTCTGCAAAACATACTCAGTTTTGAGAATGTTTTTTTTCTAGGTATGCTCCTAGATGTGCTAAAGCATTTGAATGAGTTGTAGTCTGTAATTCATTCAATAACACATCGCTGGTGTTGCTGCTTTCTTCACAGCCTATTTTTTTAGTGTAAATTTACTGTTCAGATTCATTCTTTAAAGGCTTTGAAGTATCTCTCTTCATTCTTTTTCAACTGTACTGCTGTTTGTTATCAGCAATAATTTACTTGCTTTGACTGAAAATTAATTTTGGATAATGCAAACACATATAAGAGATAATGAATTTACTGAATGTTTTGGATGATTTTTTCTTAATGACTAAAACCTGCTTTTTAATGTGGAAACAATCAGCCAACAAAAAAGTGCTTGCACTTTAGTGAAATGGCACTCACTGCAAAGCTGGTGAAATGAATGGATACAAAAACATAATGTGTTTGTTTATAAAGCTCACTGTCTTCTAATCAGAATTTGTTTTACTTGTTCCCAGAAATCTGGGTACAGAAAATAAAATAATTTTTCTCTGAAATGACAAAATGGTATTCTTTTAGTAGTATGGGTTTACTAAGAATAAAATCATTAGTACGTGGGATTGAACCATGTCATAGCAAGGTCTGAGACCTGGGTGGGCTATAGAGTCCATAAGGACTCATGTTTGCCTGCCTCTTGCAGGACATGGAGTTGGTTGTGTTTTGAACAGCTGCTCTTCCTGAGGTTATACTCTGATTAAAAGAGATGATTTCTTGTTAATCCGTCCTGTGACGGAAGTGACGGCTAAAAATAAAGAAAAAAATAGCATAGAAAGCAATATGCTGGCTGGTTTTTTGTTAAGAATAGAAAGCAATGCTGTCAAGGGCTGAAAATAATTTCCTCAGTCAGAAATCTTAGAGTCAGGGTGGTTGTGTAATGGGACCAAAAGAGAAAGGACAGATTAGATTGAGGTTGCTGAATAATCACTTCTTTGAGAAAAATATAGTCTAATATCTGAAAGCCTATTCAAGGAAAATATTTCTCTTGGACCTGGAATTAAATATTGACATTAAAAGGTCTATACATCATCAAGTACCTGTGACTCAGAGCTGAAATCCATTATTTGGGTTTTCAAATACTTTTCCTTGATCACTTTCATGAGATAATAAGTGTGCTTAATACATCTAGATCACAGATTTATTGTGAGCTGGGGTTTATTTATTTGTTTATTATTTGTAGCAGCCCACAGAGACAAACCTGAAAAACAAGAAAAAATTGAGAGGAAGGAGTCCCCAAAGGGTATGTATTCAGCTTTTGATATTCTTTGTCTTTTTATCAGTGATTCAAAACAGTCTAATTGACTCTTAGGCTGTTTAATATTGTTTAAGGCAATAATGTTTAAGGATGGAGGAGGTGAAAGCCAGTTGGAAAGAGAATATAGGAGAAATTTTTTTAAAAATTTGAATTCATCACTGTACAGAAAAGCTGAAATTATATTCAGATATTAATTAGCAAGTGTTTGCTGTACTAATAAGTTATGTAAAAAATGCCCAGTGCATAAATAGGTGTCCTTTTTATTCTTCTTTAATAAATCCAAACATATTATTTGTCCTTGAAAATACTTTGCACCAAAATTTAATGAGTAAATTATAACATACTGGATATGGTCCCTGCAGATATTTGCTTTGGAAATCTGCTTTAAAGAAAAAAAAAAAAAATTCCTCCAGATTAATTTCAGAGACATTGGGGAGAGGTTTTAGAGAGAATTTAATAATTTTCTGGTGATGTATGCCAACAACAAATTAGAGATCTATTGTAGGAGTCAGAATCAGGATACTGCTTATTCTCCACACACAACTCATGAGTTAGCTCTGGGTTACAAGAGCCACCATCTACTTTGCATTTTGTGAGGATATTTTAGCAAAACAGAATTTTGGTGGAGTGCACCTACTTGTGAAAACACTTTAATTCTTCTGAGAACATGTCCTTTGCACTAACTTATGGCTAAGGAAGTCTTGGGCTGGAGCAAGCAGCTGGCTAGCAACATTCTTGAAGAGCCAGCAGGCCAATAATCATAATAAATTACCAAAAAAGAAAAGGGAAGACAGAATATCCAGCCTCAGCAGACTTATTCAGGCCAAGAGCACAAGTGAACGTGCACCTTGTGAAAGCTGTGCTTGACTAGGCTTTTCTAATGGTCTTTGATTGGAGCTTTTCCATTTCATATAAGTAATTCAATGTGCCTTGAGCTAACAAGACTTAGAAGTTAATGGCAGGCATATAAATGGATGTGTCTGTTAAGATGAATAATTATTAGGAGAAAATAGAATGGTGATAACATGGGAATTTTTTTCTGGGATTTGGAAAAATGACAAAGCAAAGGCAATAATGTCCCATATTAAAATATGAATTTATCTTTAAGATTTCTGTCATAATGTGGAAAACTTGGGAAACTCTTCAACTTGATTTCACAGGAGAATTATATTTAAAGTTTTATTAAGTTTCTTAGAAAAAAGGAAAAAAATTGTCCCAGTCAAACTCAGATAGCCAGTGAAAAAAAAATTGCAATTATAGTGCCTCAGCTTGCCATAAATCCTATTAATATTCTTTCTACCTAATTGTATTTTTTCCTGAAGTGAACTATTAGTTTTATTTAGTGAACTACCACCAAAACTGCTATGGAAACACTAATGTGTATAGAGATTTTGTGTGTTCTCAGTACTAATAAACATTACTTTCAGACTGTACATTAAATTTCAAAACTAAGACTATGAATGTGTGTCTTTCTAAGGTCCATTTCATTGTAGTGAAGTGGAAGACTCCATAGTGAAGTATAAGACTGCATCCTTATATTTTTGCTGCTTATTTTCTGCATTGAATTCATTGCCTTTTCAAGATCAAGATAATGGAGATATAAATAGCATCCTAGTCTAATGTATTATCAACTTCTGGGGTGAAGTTTAAGAAAGTTATTTAATGACACATTAGAAGTGTCTCAGTCACTTAGCAGTGTCTTGGTCAGAGATGTCAGCCATGTTCTCACGTGCTTCATCACTATATTACCTAAAAATGTGGAAGCCTGAATATTGTCTACCACTCCTCTTTTACATTCAATTACATATGGAATTCATGGTATTGTTAAAGAAGTTTCTTATCTCCTCATGTTAGACAAAAGGAGTTCTAAACTTGGATGAAATCTCCACAGGAGTAAGACTTAAGCTAGGCTTGCATTTTCACAGCTGTTCTTTCAGAAGTGTTCTAAAACGCACATACTTATTTTTCATTTTCTAGAAAATTACAGCATAAAATCCTAAGAAAAGCGATTGGAAAACGTTCTATGAACAAGTGGATAGCATAATGCTGTTTCCACTGTCATAATGTTAGTTTTACTTTGCACATACTGGGTATCTAATTATGGCTCTGAGATCGTCATTGCCAGGGACTGATCTCAGCTAGTGTCCATTACTAGCTATCTGTATCCATTACAAGCTGTCCATATCCATTGCTGGTTATCCATTTCAAGCCAGCTGGCGAGTCACAGATGTATCATTTGCACATGTGATTCTCTTAGGCTCCGAGATTGATTCCAGGGTTTTTACAACCTGTGTCTGACAGAGTATGGGGCGGCCAAGGTGAAGCCCTCTTTCTATCACAGGCAGCAGCATTCACTGTGAGCTGTGCCTTGGTAAGTGGCAGTTTTCTGAAATTCTTCTGGAATTGACAGACGATTGCAAGAGATGATGTTATGCAGAAAACAGCTGAGGCATGTTACCATGGCAGTAACTTGTTAGCCAGAGTTGGCTGCTCACACCCCTCTAGTATGATGTGTGCTGTGAAAATATGCACAGGGCAGCTCTGCCACTTAGTATCCTAAAGCTCATCTTGGTGAAATTGTTTTGGATTCTTAATTTTTTTCTTTTTTCCGCTTTTTTTTTTTTTAATTTTTTTAAGGATATATATAACACTTTCTTTCTTTCCTAGTGACAAGTAAAGACAAACTGGAAAGACAAGAAAAACCTGAAAAAAAGGAAAGGAATGCAGGTAATTATTTAATGTCAGAATTTATTTTACATTTGGAGGTACCCCAAGGCTAATTCTCTACTCAATTCTCATTTATGTATGCCTTTGATTGAAGAAAAAAAAGCGTTATAAAATATTATGAATAAAAATAATGAAATAATAAAAAGGTTTACAGTCTTACACAATAAGTAGCATTTAATATTCCTTCTGCATATATTTGGTTTTTTTGTGGTTTTTTTCCTGGGGAAGGAAGATAATCTGTTTTGTGCTCTGGATTAGTGTAATCTTATGATAATCACTGAGTATTTCCAACACTTGCAATAAGAATGGTTGCTAAGAGACTGTGGTCATCGAAGAAAAAGGAACCTGACAGCCCATTCACAGAGGTAATCGGGAAGGCCATGTGGAAAAAAACCCATTTGAAATAGACTCCTGCATAGGGCCATTGCATAGCCATTGAGTACACCAGGACTAATTTGTCCAGTAGCTAGTCCCAATAAATACGTGTCTAGCACTGTTTTATCTTCCCCAGTTCTTTCTTTTTACACACCAGCTCAATGCTCATGCATACATTTTTGTGTTCCTAGGATGATCTCATACACTGTACTCAAGCAGGGAACTGCGTGTTTTCACACACGTGATCCCCACAGGCCGCCTCAGGGCACATCAGCCCATGCAAGCATCAGTTCTGCACACCCATGGACAAGCTACTGTGCAAACATTAATCATAAAAAATTAGCAAATCAGAGCTCACACAGGAGAATATTTCAGATTGCCCACCACTCAGTGACTACCACACAACTCAGGTGTACTCTGAAACCTGAGCCAGAAATCCAGAAACTACGGAGCAGTTAATTTCAATTTGTAAGGTGGAAATTAAAAGCAAACAAAAAGCTCCAAAGAACATTAGTTATAATGTCACTGCAATTATATCTGTAATTAATTATAGTGCTTAATCATTCATAGCTGGAAAAAGTTGTTCTATGGAGTTCAGAAAATCCTTCAGAAATTAACAAAAGTAATAAGCAAGAAAGCTAAATATAACAATAAACCAAAACAAACCAATAAATTGCAGTATATAAATATATTAAAGAGAGAAAAACAGTAAACAATATGTATAACTCTTCTTGACTATCTTCTTTCATGGGATTTTAGTGGAGCTAGAAAGCCTGCTGCTCCTCCAGCCAATGGCAAAGGTGGCAATGATGGAAGATGAGTTTTTGGACGTTCCAATCCCATATTTTGGCATCAACAGCAAACAGCAGCAGCTGAAACAATCTTCCTCATTCTTTGCATGCATAACCATGGTGCCTACTTGTGTTTCTTGATTCTTTTTCTCATTTAAATGCAACATTTTTTTTTTTTAATAACCATTAAGATTATTGGTTTTATTTCTAGCTGTTCACAAAGAGAAACCTGAAAAGCCAGAAAAACAAGAAAAGAAAGCACTGTCTAAAGGTATTGTGGATTATCATTAAAAGCTGTACGATTTTAGTGCTTGAAATCTTGGGAGAATGTGGAGATAAGTATTTAAAGTGCATTTTTTGGGTGTTGTCACTTCTGTGTGAGCAGGTCTTGATCAACCCCTGAGTGAAGTCTTGCTTAGCATATTTTTATTTTTTTTTTGCTTTACTCTCCTGTTTTTATGCACAGAGTTTATTACAAATCATTCTTACAGCTAAAGAATGAAACCTATGACTATTTTATTTACATTCCCTGATGCTTTTTTTTCTCCACAAAGGGATTCAGTAGTTTGCCTGCAAAGAAGGTTTTCTCTTGTGCATTAGTTTTCAACCTGATGCAGACCTAATGCAAAAGTATTTACTGCCTCTCAGTCTGGGTCTTCCGTTATGTCCAAAAATAGAATTTCATTTTCTTGCCTTTATTTTTTTCAATAACATTTTAATTTCAGTATGTTATTTGCACTGTCTTCTATGGCACTACTGGCTTTGGTCAAGATTTACATATCTAATAATTATCATGTATATTCTGAAGCAATAAAATGGATATGTGAGCGGTGATTTTCACTATTCTTGTGAATATTTCCATCTTTGGCTGTGGTTTGGACAGGGAAATTTAAAAATCCAACCACCTTGTCCTATTATGCCATTTTTAAAGACTAACATTTATTATTGCTTGGCATTTGAATGTTTTTCTCTGAGGTTAGATATTTCTCTGTGGCAGATATTTCTGTAATGAAGATCAGTTTCTGTCTTTGTCTCTTTTTATTTTACTCAGTTAACTCTTGAAGAAATACTATGCAACATATATTCATATCAGTTTGTTATGGCATTGAGATTAATCTCATGACATTGAGAAATGTGAATTAACTAGGTTTAATTTGAATATGTTCAGATAATATAGATACAAATATACAAATCACCCTTTTTTTTTTTACTTGGCCGTAGTCTGAGGAGGAATGTAAAACAAAAAGTAAAAGTGAAGAGAGGAAAAAAGCAAGCAGAATGAAGACTTAAAGCCATAAAAAAATTCGAAGGGTAGCCATGGTCCAGACTCTCTTTTAAAGGGATACTGTTCATTTTTTTCTACTTTCAGTGTATAGCTTGAAAGTGTGGGATTTTTTTCATAAAATGAAATCATGCTGAAGTAAGCCAGAGAAAATAAATGCCCATAGTGTCTGTGTTGATTTGAAAAGCAAATAACTTCCAAGAATCACTGAGATAGTCCTAATAAGCAGCCAGCCTCTTTACCCATTTATCTTCTTCTAGCTAACCAAATAATCACTTAGAGCCTTAATGTGTTTAATAGCAGCCATGACTCCAGTCACTGGCTGGAAAATTTTATGAAGAATTTGGACACTGCAGCTGTGGAGATTTGTGGCTGCAGTGTGACATAGCCATGCTGCCCTCTCTTGGGTAGGTTCCCTGCCGTGAGTCCCTATGGCATCAGAAGGGCTATTTCAACCACTTGCAATAGCTAGGAAATGAAAATATTCGGGTCCTGGCCAGCTCTGGGGAATGGACATACTGAAAATCGTGTGGCTACTTCCCACACAGTCAGCAGGTTTTCTTTATGCTCGTTGCAAAGACGCAAGGTTAACTCCTCAGACTCTGTTAAAGGCTCCAGAAAACCTCAGCGACATGAGTGTTTTTTAAACACCCTGTCTAAAAACATCTTAAAAAAAATAAAACCCAGTCTAAATATCAATCATGTTCTCCTACAGGCTGGAATTCCAGGATGGAATTCAGTTAGAGAGGATGTTGCTATTATGTAGTTATCAGCTGAAAGAAATGTAATTAACTCTCAAGGCTGGTTTGTTCTGGAATTCTGTCTGGATAGTGACCCAGAGGGCAAAGACGGAGGTCTGCATAAAACTCCAGCAGCCTTTCTGGAGCACAGTCTTGTGTGTGTTTGCACAGTGTATCTTATGCAGACATGAACTCACTCAAGCTGGGCTCTGAAGTGAGCACCAGACTTATGGCTGCGCTTGTAGACAATGAGCCCAAGCTAAGAAAAACACCTTTCTGTAAGACAAACACAGCCACATGGCTTCCTGTTGGCTGCAGCACAAGGCCAAGTCCGTGTCTGCTCAGCACATGACATGAGCAAGTTTGTTTCATCTGGAATATACAGTAAAAACGTTCCCTAGGGCGCTTCAGATCTGTGTGACTCACTTGTCCTCTGCTAAGGGAGCCCCAAAAGACATTTTGAAGTTTTTTACCCCACTATATGAATCTGAAAACAAGAATTTTGAAAACTAAAAAATAGGAATAGTAAGAAAATGTGAAATTTTCAGCAATGATAATGTGTTTTGGCAATATTTTCTTTGTGAGTTTTTTCCCCTAATATACAGTTGTCCTCATTTCTAGTAACTCAAAAAGATGCACCTGAAAGACATGAAAAAGCTGAAAAGAAACCTCCTCCTAAAGGTATTTATTTATCTGTACTACATTTTTTTAAACTGAATTGACATTGAAATGCACTTTCAATTGACATTGAAATAAAAAACTTTATTTTATTCAAGCAGAGATTGTAAATGTGCGTGAAAAATCAGTTACATGAAATTAAAATTAAATTAATATATAATCAGAATCAAAATGTCTGTACAACATCCTGGAGTTAATTCTGTGCTTGATCCCTTTCAAAATCTGTTGAAATTTCAAATTAAGAATAAAAGTATGAACCACCATTTCACTTAAAAAAGTAAGCCTACCTGCAAGAGATCTGACATACATTTTCACTACAACTAGCTCAGGATATTAATTCTCCACTAGCTGGCAATACCTGCGTTTGACTGGGAGAAATGCTCTTACATAATTATCTGAATTCTGGTTTGCAGTAGTCAGATATTTCAGCTTACATATTGATAAAATCAGTTTAAACATCTCAGTGGTTTAACAGAAGTCTAGACTCTTACAGAAAACAGATATTTGGTAGCATGCATGTTTTGCCTCAAGGGCAATTTAGATCTATGAAGAAACCAAGAGTATGAACTTTGCACTAAACAGATTAATTTAAAACATATCCAGTGGTAGTTTATACTACTATTGGATTTTCCACTGGAGTGAACTAAAAACATACATATTGGGAGCGTGCATGGCTCAGGTGAGAAAAAGTTGCTGACACATAAAAGTGGAAAGAATGCTTGGGGTCTCACCAAGCTCTGTAGCTTCAGCTACTGATATTTACAATTACAGTATTTACTGTTTGGCAACTCTCCTTGGAAGCCTCCTCACTCTCCTGAAGGGCATCTCAGACTTTCAGCCCCCAGAACTGGGGCTGATCAGACTCAAGAACTCAAAAGTTCTTGGACTGAGACCTAGAATCGATGCATGAAAGCAACCCTTAAAAATAACCACACACTATTTTTCCAGCTTACAACAGAAATAAACACTGAAGTCTAAACTTGTTCAGATAGTACTTCCCATATTTGTTTACTTAATGACCAACATGTTCCTCCCTAATTTATACCCTAAAAACTATCATATTAGAAACACTTATTATTTGGCATATTCTATTATACTGAACATCAGCCAAGTATGTGGTATAGCACTATATTTCAATATATTAAAAATATATTTTTATATATATATAAAAAATACTATATATCATATATATCATAGTGTGTATATATATATATACATATAATATATAATATAAAACCTCTTTGGATCTCATATTTCTGTTTAATTCTCCCTGGTTTGAGGGGATTATAGGTTTCATCAGATCTTACCAAGCTGTTAATAATGAAGAAATGCTCATTATTAATAGCACGGTATAAAGTAAATGGCACTGAATATTATGTTGGGGGCAGAGAATGACACTGAAAGCTTTTTCTTTATTACTTGCAGAGGAGAAGAAAGTAAAGAGCACTAAAGTGGAAGCAAAAGTTAAAAAGGAAGTGAAGGATGGAAAAGGAGAAGCAAAGACGGCAGAGAAGGTGAAGCAGGCAGAGACAAAAACAACAGAAACTGGGCTAATAAAGGCCAAAACGAAAGTTAAGGAGGAGAAAGCTCTTCAGACTGTTACTAAATCGGACAAGAAAGGTAAACAAAATGAGGAGGAAGCAGATGAAGATCCTAAAAAGGTAGTAGGGAAGAAAGAGAGAGAATGGAGTTAAACCTATCAAGGACCAAAGTCCACCCATGAAAAACAAAACTCCAGTACAAATAAATTCCACACAAACCTCACACTCCTAGGACATGACTACAGAAAATAAAATAAGCTTAATTTTTATAACCAGAAGGTTCTCAAGTTTTTCATGGCTAAAGTTTCATTTTAATTTAAATACTTCTTTACCAAGGACCAATTTCTCTTCAGATAGGTCTGAGACTTCATGGATTTGCTCAGTAGCATCTAATGACTGCAAGCAGAGTTATTTTTGAAAATTCAGACTGTCCAATGACCTATTGGGAATTCTGGTTTGTTTCTACATCTGCATATGTTCTCTGTAACCATAATGAAAGCAGCCACAGTGGTGTAATAATTTATCTAACATCATATTGTACGAGGCACTGTCAGGTTGTCAGGTATTGTACAGCATAGCGAAATACCCGCTTGATATAATTTAATGTAAACAGCTTTCAAATTCCTTCCAAAAGGGAAAGAAATGTTATTACACTGGTGAAAGGAATAAATTAAGTGATAAAACAAAGAATCAACGTGCATTGACACCATGTAGTTAACAAGGTGTTAACTTTGCCAGAGTAAGCCTGGGTCCCAGGTTGCACTGAGACTGGTCCCCTGATTTCCCTGAGGCATTTCCACAGCATTAGGTACGAGTCTGTATGAATGAAGGCAGCAGGACCTGGTTTCTGTATGAGCTGCCACACTGCAGCCATGGGATCATTCTGGCGTTGGAAGAGGCAGCTCAGCGTTACACAGTGCACCTATCTGATCCTTTCAGCTGTTAACCACAGATAACAGCTAACAGATAAAGTTTGTGCCTCAGCATCAAAGAAGCCATCCCTGTCTGGTTATCTGAGTGTGCCTCATCACATTCTCTCAAAGTTTCATAACCATCACTCTGGACCCCTCAGGAATTGCCTAAATTATATTGTTCTAGAAAACTGAGAGAGTTTGAGATAGCCCACTTGTTGATATGCATAGTGTGCTGAACTAGTATTTTTTAATGTTTATTTGTATTCCAGTTAATTATGTCTTTTACTTGAAATATTAGGACCTATGAGGCATGGAATCAAAGCAGCATCTACCACACTGCTGTGACCAAGAACAAAGTTCAGCAAATTGTTCAGTTCACTTGGGAGGTCAAAATCTCTTTTAATTTTTTGTTTTCTCTGGCAGATTTTCAGTGCACAGTGGGAGCCTCTCCATACTGTTCAGGATAAAGCTCTCAAAAAGAAATGCTGTGCAGATGACAACAAAATATTTTAAGTAGGGATCAAAGATTACAAAGATCAATAGAATAGTGGTGGGGTTTTTTTTTTTGTTTTTTGCTTTGTTTTTGTGGGATTCCCAACAACTTTAGCCGATAAATATTAGCAAAATGATCCATCTTGACATCAAACATTAACAGATCACTTTGCAAGTCTGCTTTAGAGTGTGACCCCAGTGACTGTGCACGGAATCCCAGCAGGTGAAAATGAGAATAAGCAGCTGGAGTGGAGGAAGGAAGGAGCCTCTTCAACTGCCTTTATCACTGAAGACAGGCCTACACACATCTAGTGAAAGCTTCATTTCCTACTGTCGAGATTCCTTTTTCTACCATAAGCCACTGCTGCACAGCTGGATACTCTAAAAAATTCATTTTTATATTTCAGTCCCACTGTGACCCAAGGTGAACATAATTTAGAAGTCGATGCAGTTTTGCAGAGATCTCCTGATCCTGCAATCTTTATGTTTACTTGCTCAAGGGAGTAGTTCTGCAAGCTTATCTGAAACAATGCAAAAAATATAGCAGTGATCACAAAAGAGTTGTTGCATCGTTTGGTACTGAAATTAAAATTAAAAAAGATAGGTCATCTCCCTGGGTAAATCACACTAAGCCCAACAAGAGAAACATCTGTGAGTACATTTATCATTAAGAATCTAGTCCCAAATTTTGACATGATTTATTAGTACTTATATGAATATTTTTTTGCCATCATTATGGAGTTAAAGGTGAAAAATAAAGTGTGAAATTTTCCTCTTAATACAGGAGTTTAGATTAAAATGGATTTTTAGCCATGAAGAGACACTTGGAAAATCATATTCATTTAAAATTCCTTAGATTTCAGTCTTTACTGATTGGTAGCATTCCTATGAACTTAAATAGGATGTTATAGTGCACCTTGCTATGCCGTATAGAAATTATATTTTTGTTATTGAGAGTTTCACATCTGCCTTTAATTTCTTTTATGAATCCCATTTTTTTGTGTTGAGTTGCTAAAGAAATAATATGAGGAGAAAATTAATACAAAATCTTTTTTCTAAAATACAATCAAGATTAAGGATTTTTTTAAAGTTTATTCAAATTATATTCCTACAAAGCAAAATAAAAGAAATACAAAAAAAACCCCACAACAACAAAAAGATAAACATAATGAACAACACAGTTTGGTTATTTCTGGTCTATGCTACTATTAAATAATAGATTATTTTAATATCAATTAAATGGTGTGATTCTAGAGCCTCATGCTATGTCTACATCACAACTTAAATAGAACTTGCACAGGCTTGTGGTCTGCCATGGATGTTTTCCCCTACCATAGTTTTGTCCTGTATCCTCTAGAAGTCCTATCTACAATGCTCCAAATGTTGCAAGAAATCTTCCCAAGAGTCAGCAAGGATAGAGGCAGCTTGTTTTGCCAAAGGAGAACTAAGAGAAAGCAGCTTTTTGTGCAAGAACTGTGCCCAGCCATTTGCTTTCTGGGCTTAAGCATTGGTGTTGCTCCATTTTATTTATAAATACTCATTGAGGCCCTATTGCAACAGTGTCCAAGTCCGTGCAAACATTTTGCTGACTTCAGTAGCTTTAGGTGGGCTCAAGAAAACAGATCTGTACATGATTTCTCACATAAACGCTGTTATTTTTATTTTTTTAGAATAATATATTGATTTAGGGCCAATACTGTAGCCTTAAGGACGGAATCCAAAGTTAGAGCCAGCCAAAATGATAAATTTAAATTCCCAAATATGAAAGATAATTACAGATATTCATTAGAGGTTTTAAGGGCAGTGTTTACAGCCACAGACCTCTGTACATGCTGAAAGTTTTGCCCCAGGCTTCACAATCCTGACTGGTATTACCCTTGCCATCTCACTAACACAATACAGTTGCCTTGGCTTCTCTCAACTAGAAAAAGTGTTTGGATATTTGTTGAGTTGGTAAACTCTTTCCTAAGTTCTACATCTGCATAGGAAATAATGACTTGAGAGCTGTAGTTGTTCATCCAAGGACTGCTGTATCAGTCATCTAATAGAGCAGCAGTCACATAAATGCCTCAGCATCAAGTGATACTGATGTAGAAGTGAACTGTGCATGAAAGTCCATAATATAATGAGTGTCACATACTTGGAATTACATTTTGCATTTAAATGTAACAGCAATGCCATTTTAAAAACTTTAATTATGCCAAAGCCAGCATAATTTTATTTTGGAGTTGCTGACAGGGAAAGCAAGTGGCTTTGTAAGTGAGTAGGACAGAGATGCCACAGGAGGTGGAGAGAAAGAGATGTAACTTCTACAGTGTAGGAACTGTGCTAAAAGAGTCTTGGACAGATGGATGAATATGCTTCAAGGACAACTGAGAACTAACTTAGCTAACCAGAGCTGGCATTTAGACATCAACATTAGCTTTCAAAGCAAATGCCCCTTAGAGTCCACTGGAGCAACAAGCTGTTTTATCTGATCTGCTGAAAAATCCAGCAATACTGAAATTCTTTTGTACTCGGTTAAAGCTGATAAACTTTCCTCACCATTCTTAGTGTTAGAAATTTTTGTTAAGCTCTCCATCTCTGCTTATGTATAGAAGTCAATAGACAATCATCACTTCTGGAATCAGCATTTTATTTAGATTCAGAAGCCTTGATTTCTGAATAGTATAGAATAGTATAGTTTATATATATATATATGTATATATATATATATATATATTTAACATATACATAAATATTTGTAAAGATTAGTGTTTGGAAAATGATTCTGTGGTGAAACAGTAGAATTCTGTGGAAAGCCTTGTTTCTATAGGAATGTAAGTATGCAGAGTTCTTTTTATATTCCCATTTACTAAATATACATATTTATTATAGGGTTAAAAACATATTAGCAAAATACTGTGATACAAAACCTTTTCTTTACATTTTGTATCAGCTGTCTGTCAAATTGATCTTCACAGACGATGAAAAGTCTATGAGATATATGGCCAGGCAGCAGTTTGCACTGTACTTGTGCATGGGGTTAAGCTACATGGCAAGCAAAGCCAGCCCAGAAAAAGAGGTGGTAGCTCTGGGACACTGGAAGCTCTGCAGTTCTTGGCTAGAGGTTTTGAATTAGATCTGGACAAGAAATTGTCACTTTCTGAACATGTGAATCACTTGAAGGTCAGGAAAGAACCATAAATATGTAATAAGTAAGACTACCTATGAAAAGGCTACTGAGATGTCTTTGTGCTGCCAAACTTTATTCACTGTTAAATACAAATTACATTCTAAATTTACTTTCTTCATTACTCTTCTTTTCCTTTTTGCTCTGTTAGATCAATATGCATTCTGTCGCTATGTGATTGACATGTTTGCGCAAGGGGATTTTTATCCAGGTACTTTCCTATATCATTGAACTCTGTTCTAATATTCTTCTGTTTCCCTGAGAGTTTTTGCTCTTTTATGTATTAAAAGTGTGGTTTTTATTATTGAAAGGTCTCACAAGAGCAACAAAGAGTGTGCAAATAGTTTTAATAAAGCATAAGAGCTAATGGCTGTTTTATTAAAGCTTCTAATTTTCTGTCTACAGTGCATGAATTAAAATCGAGGTTATGTTAAAAGTAGAGTCAGTGGAAGGCTGTGGAAATTGCTAAAATTTTCCATGCTTCTTTTGGCTAAGATGCAAGAGAAAGGAGCTTATTGTTAATAGCTTATTATTTGTTTTATTGGGGGTTTTTCCTCCAGAAATAGCAAGGCTTAACTCCAAAATGCTTCAAAAATAGAACTTCCATTGCTGTTGGTATACAAAATACCTTAGTCGATCTATCACTTCTGTACTTTATCTTCTCTCTTCCCACACCTCCATGCTAATCTATTATAACACAGATACGTAATTCCTTACCAAAAAAAGAAGATAGAGCTATGGATGATGACGAAGCATCAACTCATGGTACTAAGTCTAACCTGACCTTATTTAATAAACATTCTTCTTGCTGAAGTCTAGACATAATGTAGAGAGGACATAACCCAGGGAATGAAAAGCAATAATAGTCATGAAAAGAGTCAAGGAGAGAATATTTAAGGACACACTAAGCCCTGAAAGATTGTTTATGCAGTTATTTGCTCAACAAGCTCTCCACTGGTACACCTGTGAATTGGTTGGGTTTTTTCTTATCTCTGCCTTGTGGTTTACATCCCCTCTTGACATGCCCAGGTTCAGACAGAGCTGGGAAGGACGTAGCTGAGAAAGAAAGGCTCTCACAAAGGGGAGAGGAGGACACAGATTTTTGTGGAAGGGAAATGAACAACCTTGGATTTCTCTTAGGAGAAGGTTTGTGTCTCCTGCTCTCAAAGAGTGCCATGGAGAGGCAGCGGGTTCCATTAAAAGATAACAAAAGAGTGCACCACCTCTAGGACTTCTAAAGACAACCAGTTATAAACAGAGGGATGGCTTTAGGCTCAGAGGGGGAGAATGATTAGCCAAACTTTCCAGAGACTGCAAGTCATGCTTTGATTTAGAAAATAACACCCTGTAGTAATGTAAATGACCTAGTTTTTTGATTTAGACAGCTGTACCATCAACAATTCACATGAGAAATACTTTCATGGAGATCTTCAAGATCTTTTTTACAGTTCTCCTGACATTTAAAAGCAGCAAAAAAAGTTTCTTTCAAAACCTTTTTTCCCATAAGGCTCCCTGGCCTATTTTACACTCTCCTGAGGAAGAGCAGACATGCTGTAGGAAGGGAGGGTTTGGTTTTTTTAAGTTTTGACCTTTCCAGCTACAAGGAAACTGGGAAAACCATGAAGGGGAGCAGTGAGATAGAGAGGGAAGTCTGTAGCAACCTGAATTTCAGAAGATAAAAGACATGATCCTTCCCTTCCAGTGTTTGTTTGGCACCATACCAGTGTGGTATGACAGACTTATGGTAAGAAACCACAGGTTAGAGCTGAAAGACATGGGGTGATCAGATGGCTTACAGGTGAATGAAAACCTCAGGTGACAGGTTTAGGCTCCAAAAAGTGGAAATAGTTCATAAAATATCTTAATCTAATTTTTCGGTGAAATGGAAAAGGACTGCCCCTTACCATCTCCCAAAGTCCACGTGGCACTCCATCTGTAAAGCAACTGCTCTCAAGTCACTTGTTGGCCCCTGAAGTTAACAGATGGCTGGTGTGCTGAGGCCAGATATATTTTGTGGGAGGAGAAAAAAACCCACATTGCCTTCAAAACAAGCTTTGGTCAACCCACTGGCTGTGAAAGGCAATGCTGAAACATCCAGACTCCAGAAAAACTACTCAGTGTTTCCGAGAAGCAAAGTAGAGGGCAGGTGTGATCAGCCTTGATTTATGGATATCACTGAGAGGAGTGCCACCAAACAGTACCTGGTTAGTTTGTCTTTCTCAGGCAAAGCACTCATTTTACACTGCACTTTTGTGAACAGAAGTATTACTGTAATTCATTTTACTGAATAGATAAATGTGGGGAAAAAGCACTTTAATAACTCTAATATCCAATTAGCTTTACAATCTGGTATTTTTTTATCCTTTTATCTGTCTATATATTTTATGGTAAAGAACTTTGTCAAAACAGAATTCTGAGTGCAAATCAGCTGAGGAATTAAATTACAATCACCTTTACACTTCAATTCTTTCAAACAAGATAAATTTCTATCAATCTCCATATTACCATTTGTCAAGGAAAAAAAAATAAATTGTTGTATGGAAAATTCCTTTGCCTAGACATACTGGGGTTTTCTGTGATTAATTACATCAGACATCATTTTCTGATTCCTTAGGCAAAACATATGGATTTATAATATCATTAATAGTAATTTAATTTAGAAATTTTTTTCAAAGTATTTTTACAATGTTTCTGTTACAAAAAGTTAACATACATTAATTCTAAGATTATGTTTGTTTTTTTATTTTTATACAAATTTTAAGCAAGAATTTATAGAAAAGTAGTTCACTTAATATGGCATTTGATAGTGCTCAAACAATTAACATTAAAAGTAAAGCTCAGTTCCTTAGGTTTCATTAATAAATACAGTTTTTTAAATATATCAATTAATGCATTTTTCAGTCACATCAATCTACTGGAGGTCAGTTAATGGTCTTGTGATGATTTTAGCAAATTAAGCTGAAATATTCTTCACCGACTCAAAGTTTCATCATGACACCGCAGTCTTAACTATAAAAAATTAATGAAATGTACACAAGGGATTCAAGGAAGCCATATAAGGATGATTTTTTGCTAAGATTCTTCATGTAGCTGGTTCTCTAGTTTTGCTGGTTAGTATTCATCCTTGATACTGACAAATTTCATGGATGTCCTCCTTTAAGCCACAATAATTGTATCAATATCAAATAACTTCTAAGACTTATATTTTAATTCTTATGAAAGAGAAGTATTTAGAGGTTCTCAGACATTTACAGCAGATAATAGTGGAACTTTAGCCATAAACACATTTTTTTCTAATCCAGAAGTCTTTTCCATTAATATCACAACTGCAACAGTGACAGTTGGGTTTTACTGATATATTTAAACATAGACCACAAGAGGCCAACTGAGCATGGTATAAAAAACTGCTTTCTGATTTTATCTCTTGAGAAATGGGCCTCAAAAATATTTTTTACCTTCTGTCTAACATGCTTGTGATAAGTGACAGTTTCTCAGAGGAACTGCTGAACATTCTTTCATAGATTTTCTGGTCTCATTTGTCCCTGGACTACAGTTGCTCAGCTGAAGCAGTACTGTCTCAGCATTAACAAAGTGATCTGCCCAAACTTCTTTGTACTCCTTTTGTCTGCCTGTCAAGGAAGAATTACTATGCATTTCTTTCAGAATTAATTTTCCAAGTTTTCCTTATAAAGATTAAAACCTTATGTGGAAAGCTTGTTTATTAAGAACATTAGGTCTGACTTGTACCTTTATTTTTCTACAGACATTTCCTAAGTCAAATAGCATTTTTGATGCAGAAAGTCACATAGTTTCATGGATATAGTCTATGCTTTGTACTTGATAATTTGCTTGATATTCCTGTATTTTGTTCTCAGTAGTATTTCTAATATTCTAATTCATAGTTTATTTTTTATTGGTAGGAGAAAGGGTTCTATTTTAGTAGAAATTTTAAAACTTATTTTCATATCTATTATTTTGATGTTAGAGAGTTTGAAATCCTCACCCATGTGGAAGGATTTCAGGGGCACTAATTGGTCACTCTTTCAGCATGGAGCACATATTTCTCTAAGTTAACAGGATCTACTCTATTTTATTCCCTCTGTGCCATACACCTGTTTTCCCACTCTTCCCTGGCCTTCCTTGCAATGCTTGACAGCCACAACTCTGGCAGATTAAGGAGCTGTTCTGATTAAATGCCTTTTTTGTTTTGCAACTAATGAAATTGGATTCTTGCATGTCTCTTTCTGCATGGCACCTCAGCATAGTGTTTTGCATGCTGAATTAAGAATGATAAGCATGCCTTGGGTATTTAGTCATAAAATGCACCTTTTTTTTTCTCACAGGCATATTGTCTACTTGTGATGTGATTTTGTTTTCTTTTTAATCACTTAGAAGTTTATTTTGCATGCACAGTTTTACTCTGTTCTGGTTTTGGTTAAACCACTTGCATTTCATAGAACACCTGACTCACTAGTGGATAATCTTTACAGTTGCCCAATTGGCAACAAATACAGGGGAGCACAGATGTGGTATTGTTCACAATTTAGACTGTCTAAAACCTTAGCACTGAAGCACATGGTTGGTCCTTGGAGTTTGAACCATTACATAGCTGTTTTCAATAACAGCTAGACTGCAAAGGAACATGGGTTCCTTTCATCAATGTACCCATATATGTTCATTGTGTGTTTCCATGCCAGGGTCTCAAAGCCAGTCCTAAAGCCAGTATGAAAGCCAATGTAATGTAGACAATTTTACTTATCTTATATTGTTGAAAAAATATATGACTTGGAGAAATTAACCAGGATTTCTGCCTTGCAAGAGAGTATCCTATAGGGTAAGACAGCCATCCCACATTTTCATTAAAAATATCATTGAAGCCTCACCTTTTGCACATATGCTCATGAAATCCCGCCACCTCCCTGACAAACATAAAGAGTCAAGAAATTAAGGCAAATTGTGATGAGCATCCATGGAGAATCTTACAGACTGCTTGGTCCTGGAAAGTGTAGACTGAAAATCCTTCATATCTACAATTTTCTTCCAAGGTTTACCTCCTCTCCATTGTCAAGGAATATTCTGTCAAAGAGAAGGGACTACTGTAATTACCCAATAAGGCAAGAGAATTTCAAGACTGTCAGTATGATCCTTGCCATTTAATATCAAAAAAAATATGGAGATACTGGTATGAAGGTACCTCAATATTGAAAGATCATGGACTATATTACTGCAAAAAAGAAACAAACCAAAAACCCATAGAACAATAAAGACTAATTTTGAAAGCAAAAATGCCTGTGCTTGCAGTGGGTGGGCTGCAGCACTGGAACTAAATACTTGCCCTCCACTGTTCAGATAGCAAAACGCTTTAGGCTCTTGAACTATTTTTAAGTGTCACTCCTATTTGATTAGACTAGGATGTGTTGTGGATATCTCAATGACAGGGACTAACATTTCAACTCGTTACATTAATTGCATTTACATGGAGACAACTTTGATGTAGTTTCTCTGGAGATACATTTAATGAAGTGCAATTATAAAAAGAAATAAAAATCAGTCATAATAAATAAGAAAGTAACATATTATTAGCTTGCTGTTTGGAGAAATTCAGCATGAAAAACTTTCAACTGAGTTGAGGGCTTTCACATTTGAGAGTAAATGCTAAAGAATATTATTTTTTTCCTATGGAGAGATGCTTTCTGGTGCAAACTATTCAATAGCCCTGTCCCCAGTGGTAGAAAACAGGCAAACCAGATATTTGTTTAAGTGACATACTAAAGAAAAACATGGGAGGCAGTGGGACTTTTCCAATTTTAATTTTAAACTTTTTACTTTTTTACTGCCTGCTGAGGGAAATATTGTACCCCAAAATTTGAAAATACTCATCTGGATTCTTCTTCAGAGATGACAGTTAATTGTCCATCAATTAATGAAAAATCTGTTCACAGGATGAAACCTGTGCCAACCCATTTTTTTCTGTGGATGGCAGAAATAGAGATGATCAAATGATGGAAGTATTTACTTCTCTAGTAATATCCTGGGAGTTTTGAATACTTTTCAAAGAGTCTGAAAGGAAAGAATTAATGAACAGTAATTTTAAATACATGTGTGTGAAACTGAAAATTGAGTTTGAGTTATTAAAAAATTTTCTAAATCATTTATTAATGTGCAAGTCTTACAATAAACATTATGTGCCATTTGGAGTTAAATATTTCTTCTTTAAATTTCTATTCAGCTATGAGAAACTATGAGAGGATATCCACTGATCGCATTTTAACAAGATTCTTGTCTATGACCACCCTTCCCCCACCTCACAACCTGTTTATTTTGTCAAACTCTGAAATGACATTTATCTCTCAATGGGGATGTTAGCATACAATCCTGACACCATCCCACAGAGGCAAAACAACTATCCATTATTCCCAGTTTATATCATCCCACTGTGAGTCAGAGCCAGATGCTGGCACATGAAGCTGCATCTGTCAACACTCTTATGGCACTTCATTGTAACTTGGCCAAAAAATTTCAAACTACTCCCTCTCTTGGAAACAGCTACAAAGGGAATGTGTGGCATTTGCTTCTGCAGAAAGGAATGGATGTCTTTGATAGTTCACTGCAAGGCGTTCTGAGGGTCAAAATTATCTGATACAAGAGAAAGCAAAAAACTTTTGCTGGTGTAAATGAGTCTAAATCTTTGATTTTAATGAAAGCAAACCAATTTAAGTCGGGAAGACAGAGAGATTAGTGTAACAAAATTATTCTCACACTTGCATTATGTTTTACTCTTATGTAAATGTATTGTATTGTTATGTGTTTATTGTATGTAGTGTATAGTTATGTATTACTACTATTTAGTATTATAAACATTTCACATAGTTCAGTAAACAAGTTTCAAGGATGAAGGATGATTTCAATGGAGGATCATCAAAAGACTCAACTACTTTAATTTTGAAAAGTAAGCTATTTACTAAAGTAAGCTTTAGAAAATAAAGACAAAAGTTAAATGCCAATGCTTCTCCTAAACAGCTAATAGTAAACTAATGGTTTCCTACAAAAAAAGGTAAAAATAAGTTTAGCAAGTAACTTTTTAAAATAGTAATTGCATTTAATGACTCATTGTCCTAGCTGATTTCCAGTTAGAATTATTACAACAGATACTGATGTTGCATCAAGTTAAAAAATTGAAGCATTCTAAAGGCAGCTTGAAGCAGCCTCAAAATCACAGGGACAGGTTCTTGTGAGGGAATGTAACTACCCTGATACCTACTGAGAAGTAACACGAGGAACAAAGAGCCCAGGAAGCTCCTGTAAAGCCTTGTTGACAACTTCCTGTCACAGGTAGGGGAGGATCCCACGAGGAATGGTGTCCTGGTTAGCTCAGAGTGACAAACAGGGAAGGCTTTGTCAGAGATGTGAAGGCTGGGGGCTGCCTTGGCCACAGTGACCATGAGATTGTGGAGTTCACCACTGGGCAAGGAAGAAGCAGGGCAGTGAATAATTGTAACCATGGATTTCAGGACAGCTGACTTCAGCCTCTTTAGGGATCTTCTTGGAAGAATCCATGGGAACAGATCCTGTGGGAAGAGGGGTCCAAGAGACCTGGTTGATGTTCAAGGTTCACTTCCTACAGGCTCAAGAATGATGCACCCCAATGGGTGGATCCATCCCAATGCAATGGATGCACCCCAAAGAAACCAAAGAAGGCAAGAGACTTGCTTGGATGAACAAGGAACTCCTGTCATCACTCAAGTGTAAGCAGGAAATACACAGGAGATGGAAGCAGGGTCAGGCCACTTGGAATGAATATAGGGAGGGTGTCAGAGTGAGCTGAAGGCTCCATCATAGAGTTGCTTAAACTAAACCAGACGGCCAACAGCATCTTAAATACCAACCATTTCAGCAAAGCAGGAATCCTACATGGGTTTCAAGTGAACATTAGTCTTTGATGAGATAAGATAATCCACAATCTTCTCCTTCAGTCAGTTTTATAAACCCAGGTTATATAACTCTAAAATTATAAGTGAGCTAATGAATCTGTTGCCTTTAGAATATAATTCTGAATATACTTAGGGAAGTTAATCACCATACATTGAATCTCTCTCAGCTTTAATGACAAGGAAAATAGCTGACATCTATCCAATGTGCCTTTAAACACCTCCTGATGCTGAATACACTGAAACATCATGAAGGAGGGAAAAATGTGTTCTGAAGGGCTTCCAGCTTTCTCCTGCATTTTTTGCTAAAGAGGAAAAATCTGTATCTCTATTGTGAAACTAGAAGTTACTCTTCCATCCCAATACAGAATTCTATGCTGTCTCTGCTGGAAAATGAGGAGGCTAATTTTCAACAAAAGTAAAAAAAATACCATATGACATAGATAAAAAGAGCATAGAAAGGATCTACAAATACTTTGACAGGATACATTCCATCATGAAGCACTTCAGCTTAGCAAGAATTCCTCACCTCTTCTGGTCTGAGAATATGAAATGCAACAGACAGAAGAGCGTTCAGCTTTGGCCTAAGCAACATGTGCTCTCCCTGACTTGTTCTATGCCCACTTATTTATGCATCTCATCTGCAGTCACTGGGACTGTAATCTGTGGCAGATCCATTCCTTTCACCATTCTCTCTTCAGGTGAATCTTTTTGTGATGTCACCTTTCTTCCTGCATATATCTGTCCTGTCGAAAAGACATATAACTTATGACATACACCTAAAATGAGTCAAAACCATTTTTTCTTCATCAAGAACCTCTATTCTTCCCTCTGACAACTCACCTTCATTCCTATTGTTTCACTTTCTCCTTCAATACACCCAGTATTATCTGACAAAGTAAATAACACAGATTTCAGAAAGTGTTCAATGCTCACATTATACCTAAAGTCCTTTCTATACGTGACATTCATTCATATAACTGTTAGCAATTTGGGGAGCAGTGTGTTACCAGACAGTATTTACAGTATGAAAAATCATGTGTGGCTCTTTTAGTCCTGGAATATTTTGGTGTCATGAAGCTTCATCTTTATGGACAACTGCAAAATAAAATGTCTGCAATTCATTGCACCTCACTTAGATACCCAAAAGTTAATTGCCCAGCTTTAACCTTTAGCTGTCTTTATAGCCAGTGGTATGAAATGGAGGCCTCCAGAGGACAATTTCATCCTAAGAAAGATGCCTAAGATAGAAAAGATGAATCACCCTTTGAAAGTACCAATTTCTCTCCATTTACTATAAATGGATCCCTTGGGTGACTTATCTAGATATAACTGTCTGAAAGTTAACTTTTAAATGTCTGGTAGTGAGAGAGCCTACATACATTCAAGAAATATGCTTCAACAGTGCAAGCAAGAATTTTGTTCAAATGAAGACTTGAAATGACAAGTTTTCTATAAGATTTCAAATTATATTAATAGGAGCAGCTGTTGACTCAATCAAGGAAACTGTCGTGCCACTTGGGCAAAAAATGCATTCCAGTTGCTATAGTGTTTTGGGAGTGAGTGAAAGGGGAAAAGAAGAAATAGAGAGAGAACTACTCTCTATCTATTTATCTCTTTCTATATATCTATCTGTGGAAGATATTCCCTGTCCAAATGATTCAAACAAAAGAAACCTAAACAATTTTTGCATCAGAACAAAAGCTCAGCATTTAGAACTTCCACTTTCATAGACTCTAAGATTTGGAATTTTTAGTTGCTGTGTGCTCACAATGTTCAATTTTTGGTTTTTTATTTTTTTTTATTTTCTGTTAGATCCATTTATAGATTCAATGGAAAGACATGGTAAGTTAAGTCACTTACCCAAAAATCATGTAGGATGACTTGACCACAAGAGTTAAAACTTATGACAGTGAATCCCAAGACCCTTTGTCCTAAAAATAACTTCTTTAAAGGATACAACATCTTCCCTGGCAAAATTAAAGAGAAAGAGAATCAGTAGTTACCAAGACATTATTGGTTTAAAATAATCATTATCTCCAGTATTGCAGGTTTTTCTTCCAGTATTTCTCATAACTACAGCCATGGCACTTAGCTCCCTGTGATTTCAGTGGGAGTGAATAAACAGGAGTTAGGAGCCAACACCTCTGTATCTTTGGGCCCTCCTCTGATATTTGATCTAATAAAACCACTCAGTTGTTTTCCCTCTAACTTCAGGCTGCATTATTGAAATTCTAACTTCTGAAAAATGGCTATGGATTCACTCTCTTAGGTGATTGTCAAGTATAGACAAGACAGGTAACATAATTGTTAACTTCCTGTTTGTCTCCATCTAGAAAGAGACTCGGAGATATGAAAAGCTTTGTGGCTTGGGGAAGAGAGAAACATGGATTTAGTTTGACTTCCAGTGATTTCTATATAAAATATATTAATTATCCACAAATATATGCAATTAAAATTATTAAGATTGTAATAAGATTATTTGTAAATTTGAAATTTGAAAATTTGAAAAATTGTAATTTTACTTGTAATTTGATTTTACCATGTTAGGCTGTTTTTGTTTTGCAAAAACTGGCATATGCACTCTTTCTTGAAGACAACATAAAGTATTAGCATTCTTGCAGCAATCACTTTTAGCTTTTCTGACTTTAGCTGTTTCTTAGATGTAGTTGGACAAAGAATGGTTGAAACAATGACATGTACAGATAAACCAAATACAAAGAACACAAATTACTAGGCAATGCTCACATGGCATAGTCAGTGTCTGTTACTTTTTGTCATAACAGCTTATAACGTCCCTCTGTTCTGTTTAATTGTTAGCTGCAAGTATTTAGATGCAGTCTTTTCTTTTCTTGTTTTAATTGGATACTTCATATTGTGAAAAAAAAAGCGCTTCTATGCCAACTCCTGATATTCATGTTGATTATGCTCGGGGTCACTGTATATGATACAGATTTATTAAAGGTTATTTGGGGAGAGAGAGAAAGACTGAAAATGTATTTTCATTTTATAATCTGCCTTTACAGTCCTTTTGTACTTCACTATGCATATAATAACCCATCATTACCACACAATAACCCACAATTTTCTCTGTCCTGGTACTTAGTTCTCTGAGATCCATCTTTCAATATTTCAAAGCATAACATGTAGGTTTATTTTTACCTGCTAACTGCCCATGACAAATAATGTGAGGAAGTGGAGGCAGAAAATTCAATTCTCGGTTTTTTCAATTCAATTTTATTTTAATGTCAGGAAAGGCTGTGTGATTTCTTACTTAACATATAATGACTAAACTGTTAATGCTTAGCTCTTAACTCCTTAATGACTTCAGTCTTCTGAACATAAAAAATAGAACAGTGTTCACAAATATGGATAGAGCGAAAGAGTGATTTTGTGGTAAAAATCTATGTAAGGGAGTTTTCAACAGATATATTTTTTTAAATAGATTAAACTGCAAGCTCTGTCATGCAGCTATACTGTGTTGCACACGTTTCTGGACCCATAGTATCTGCTTTAAGTCAACACAGAAAAGAAACCCAAAACAACAATAACTCTACCCACGCCTCTATTGCCAACCTCATTTGTACACTTTCTATGCACACTTGCATTGTGTGAGATACAAATGCATAGGAAAAAAAAAACATATCAAACAAATTCCCAGCTGTGACTTTAATTGGATTTGGTGTCTGAGTGAAAACATAGCAACTGATGTTCACACAACCTCCAGGAGTCTGCAACAATGATTCTCACACCTGTTTAATTACCAAATCAAGTATTTTCTGTTCAGAAACAACACTTAACCATGGTAGAAATTTGGAATTAGATGATCTTCAATGTCTCTTCCAACCCTAACCTTTCCATGATTAATTCTAAATAAATATTTATATATATTTATATGTTCAGGCATGCACATGTATATAGCATATATTATATTATTACTACATAAATATATAGGAATCCATCATCAACATCAAAAGATGAATTCAAATCTTTATGTAATAAAAATAGAAGTCTATCAAGTTGCTGCTACTTATTGTTTGGTGCCTTGAGAAAAGAAATTTAATCCTTCCCTTTACTCCCTTTCAAAAGAACATTTAGAATATCAGTCTGCATCCTTCCTTCCTGCGCCCTCAGTTTTAACCTACTGGTCCTTGCTTTCAGCTTAATAGATAGATGGATCTCCAAGGCTGTTTGGATTTTTGTGTAGAGCTGGTTTCATTGTCTGTGTGTAGAGGGAGTATCTCACAATAATGTGCTTTACTTGTAAGACTTTATGTAGGGTTCCAAAATTATTTGTGATATTGTTAATGGATTTTAAATATGTAGATATAGTGGGACATGGCTAGATAGATAAATTTGTCATTACCCACATAATCTCTCATTTTCTTCTTTTTTTATGCATTGCAAAAGAAACTGGCTGAAAGTCAGTGTGACATAATACTAAAATTTAAAAGATTGCATTGCTACTGGAAATTACTCCATATATTGTAGCATAGGTTTTTCTTAATTAATATCATCGACTTTATGCAAAATCACAGCTTTGCTTTATGTTGGGCAATTAAGCATTTAATAAAGAGCCACATCCATAGCGCAATTAAAAAACTGAAATATATGTTGGCTAAAATATGCTTTCTTAAAAGTCTCATTTTATGATTCATCAATTCCATCTCCCCCTGTCAAAAATTCAGTTCCAAATAGGCCATTAAAATCATGTTCAAAATGGTTTTTTCCTATTTGACATAATTTTGTTTTGTGGCCACATCTAGATTGCTAAATCAAATTCAACTCAACTGTTCTCTCTCTGAAGGTGATTTTTTTCTCTCTTAGAGAGATCCACATCCAGTACACTTCCTCAAGGTCAGAATGGGCTGGATGTATTTCAGTTATCTACTGGGAGGGGTCCCTGGCCCCTGCCAGTTCCTGAGCTGAGCCAATGATTTTTTTAAACTTTGCTGTTTGGCACAAGTCAAAGTTGTCAGAGGCTATCCAAAAATGTGTTGCAGGATATGTACTTCTGAATTCCAGAGTCCAGTAATGTTCCCAGGCACCATTTACTGGCCTGTGTGTATGAAATCTCTGTGTCACAGTGTGTTCCTTAGGAAAGAATGCCTATACAGGGAATCAGTATTTTATTTCAAGTAATGCATTCCAGGAAATGAGCAATTGCATTGTTCAGTACAGTTACACAATCTCACCTCTTGATCCTCAGCTGCTCTTTCTCAATGAAAAACTGTTTGCTCCTGGTTTTTCATGCACACATACCGAGCAGGGAAACCCTTCCCCAGGAGAGTCATAGCCTAGTGTCTGGAGAGTGATGACTGAAAGCTGGGAAGAGACTCACCTTTAACTTGTAGCAACTTACTCATCAAAACTGTAAGCCTGGGCAAAGTGGTTGGACTCCATTATGTTTTCAGTCCTCTAAAAGCATATTTGGCAGTCTTGCCTCATTCTGCTTATCCATGTCTTGTTCCAACATTCATTAAACATTTGATTGGAATTCACTTATCATAACAAATGGCTCTGCAAAGACAATTACTTTATTCGAATTATTTTTACTATCACTAGAGAATGATGTCACATCTGAAAAGAATGAGATTTATCTGAAGATAAATGAGAAACTGTAACAGAGTGTTGGTGCTTTAGGACTACAGGATTCCTTCCATTTAAGTAACTGGTATATGGATATGAGGAAATGAACAGTCACAGGAATGGTATTTCCACATATTGCACTCTGTGATGGCATTATTTTTCTCCATATCCAATTGGAATATTCACCAGTCTGAAATGCCTGTAATATAATAAAAATAGTAATAATAAAATTTTCAGTCTTTTATCTTTTTATCTAGAAAGATATATTTAGACATTTCATTAAGGTCACTGCAGACAAATTGAACTCAGAAGATCAGGAAAGAAAGAAAACTCACGTAATTTGGTATTATCATAAGAAATCAATTTATACACAATATTCAAACATGACATTTTTGACACATGCAGAAAGATATTTCCTAGATTGGGAAAAGTAAGGTAATTAAAGTTTGTCTTGTATGCCCTATCATGCAATAAGAAATCTAAAATATTAATAAACCAAGTCAGGATTAATTTCTTCAAGACATCTCAAGCAATTTGATAAACACTGATGACAGAAGTTTCCCAGAGCTTGAGGACTGTAGCTGATTTTCAATGAAGTATTCATATTACCTAAAGTTCTAAACCTTCTGCTCATCCTTGCAGACAATTTCTTTCCTTTCAGGCTGTGGAGGAAGGTACTCGTGTCTTAATGTGACACTTTTCCCCTGGTGAGATCATCCCCATAAGTTTAAATCCAAAATATTTCACTCTTTCAAGTTTTATCAGATGTAACTTGTTGTCAGTTGTTTACAATATCATATGTGAAGGAGATACCTATACCACAACTACATGGACAGGTGACACATGGAAATGCGAATTGACTCTAGGGACAAATTGGCATAGAAATGCATGCACATTTTTGTGCTTGGAATTACATATTTTGGAGAAATCAAAAGCTATTTTTTTTATTATTTATTTTTTAAAGCAGTTTAAATGAGCCTTAGTTGCTTATCTCATAGCAGTAAAATGAAGGCTATGTTTGAAGTTAGATGCAAATAACTATGCAATGCTTTTTGTGGCTGCATTTTTAAAGCTGTGACATAAGTGTATGTCCAGTAATAATAGTGCTAATCTGAATAACAACTTCTCGTAATTCATGGACTAATCTGATTGTCCACTGAGAGCATTGAAAACATCCTGCCTTCCTCTCATTTACATCATGTATGTGTCCAACTGGCCACTGCTAGAGTCAAGATAGTAGACTTCATTAATACTAATGGTCTGATCTGTTGAAGCCAATTCCTCATTTCTATTTATCAGTTCTCTGTGCTAGAGAAAACCACTTGTTCTTTATAACTTAAAGAGGAGAGAAGAAAGAAAAGAAAAGAGGTTTGACTTAGGTTATCCCCTTTAACATATTTCATCAAAAGAATGGATAAAATATTTATTCATTTACTGTCCTTTACATTCCCATCAAAGTGAATAGAGAGACATTTAATAAGACATGGAAACATTAAAGAAGCCTTTTATCAGAGTGGATTGGAACCTGCTCTGAACAAACATTTTGGCCTAAGGGAAAGGTTTTGATCTGTGAAGCTTAAATGTAAAACACTCTCATATTGGATCATGTGGTCAATTTGCATAAAATAAATTATTTTCTTAAAACTTGTAAAGCTATAAAATAGAACTTGACATGTCATTAGCAATAAGTGGTATCATACTGGCATTATGTGCACGCTGGTGAAATCATTAGAAAACTGCTGCCACAGCAAAGCACAGGAAGATAATGGGGCCAGTCTACAATTTGACCTAGAGGAGTTAGATCATTGCTCCATGCTGTAGATACCACACTGCAGTCCAAATTATTGACTATCATTCATCATTACTCATCTACTCAACATTCTGAGCCACTGTCCTTTATCCTATTTCACAAAAAAAAAATGTCCAAGTTATCATTTTTTTTCTAACTGGGTAATAGGTGGTCTAGTTTTAAAAAGGATGAAAAAAATGAAAGAATAAAAAATGGAAAAAATAGAATTAATGTTTATTGCAGGATCAAATGTAGAAGGAAAATAAGATTACCCATTCTTCATTAATTGCTATGTTGTTTCTTGTTTTTATTCTGAACTGGAAATTCAGGCACTAAGGTTTCTGTGTGTTGACATGGTTATGAATATAACTTTTCTGTTCTGGTTGGCAGCAAAGGTAATCAGCAGCTCATTAATTCAGTTTGCAAGTTCAAGAATATTTTTTTCAGACATAAAGAATTTGGAAAATCATGGCTAGCCATCTGGATTCCTGAAACTTGCCTAATATTTATTTTAAGGCTATAACTATTCTGTGATGAGATGGGTAAATACCCACTTAGGTTTATTGCCAATACAGGCAATATGTGGAAATATAGGATTATTACAGTTTGCAGCAAAGCACCTTCAATATGTTGGTTTTATCAACGTGTTAACGTTTTGTCAGTGTCTCAGGCACACATCAAGTTTGAACATCTCTGTGTTTGATATTTTATACAAATTATGGGACAAACTGAACCACATGCTTGCAAATTATGTGCCTGCAATTGTACATATGTTGATGAGATGCAATAACATTAAGTCCATGATGCTCAAATCCCACTGCTGTCTTCAGATGATGTTTTTCTCATGCATTCCCCATGAGTATACACACCTTTGCAAAACAAGAGGGGTAAGTAAGATGCTGCAGTTTCCAAGGCCCATTAAAACCTTAATTTCTTTTTTATCATCAAGCATGAGGCATGGTTTTGAGTTTCTGATGTGAAGCTTGAGCTGAGATTTAACAGCTGGCTTGCATGTGGACTCTGGTGAATTGAATGTATGCTGGTGTTTATGACTGAATCAATATTATATTTAAGTACTTAATATTATTTCTCAGGTCACAAAGACTTTCCAAATGACAGTGACAGGGTAGCTACTGAGACTAAATGCTAGTGAAATAAAGGAAACATGGGAACTTCAAATGTCATAAACTAGAAAATAAGCATAAGCAATATAAGAGTACATTAAATATTTTTGTGAATCTGTGAAGAAATGAAGAGTGTTTTGTACAAAACATGATATCTGCACATAGGCAAAGACAGTACAGAAAGTCCCAGGTGAACACTGAGAGAGTAGAGGTGTTTCATTCAGCAGCTGGAATCAGAACCTCATCAGTGTTTACAATGCATGACCCGGTTGGTATTGGCTAATTAGGAATAATCCTTAAGGATGAGAAACATCATAATTTTTACTGGTGTATCCAGGAGCTCATAATAAGTGGACTTGAGGGAGCAACTGAAGATCATTTGTTTGACAGAAGAAAATAAGACTTTGCTGTAGAAGAGCATGAATATGTAACCTTATTATCATACTATTATTATTCTCTTTTGAGTCTAAGGAAGAAAAACAGAACTGTAGCATTTCAGCATATGTTTGAGTCACTTGGACTTCATTGGTTTCAAATGTGACTCTAAAAAATAAATTACTTTGTTGAGAAATAAATTTCCTTCTTATAGTGTCTGGAAGATATTAGCTTTTGTGAACACTAATACTTTTAACATGAACAATTTTGAAGGGAGCTCAGCCTCCCAGTGAAGCTGCTCAGCCTGTAGGTGAATACATTTTCTATGTTTCTTAACCTGTATTCTTAGGTGCAGGACATAAGGAATTCATACCACCTCGTCTTCTTCTAGAACACAGTCCAAGAAAGAAACCAGCAGCCATTGAAGGTAAGTCTGAGTTTGTCTGCCTTTATTGGCTTCTACTTATTGACTGTTCTAATGTTAGGGGGTTTTTTTGTTTTTTTTTTTTTTTTTTAAATATAACATATATTTTATATATATATATATAATATAAAATAAAAATATATAATTTCAATATATATATTTGAATTTAAATTTTATATATATTTATATATATAAAATAATAGGAAAATAAAAATAATATTTTTTAAAATATAAAAATTATATATATATATATATAAAATACAAAAGTGATCACATTACTAGGCCTGGGACAGGAATGACATACTGACATATGTATGATAAAATGTAAATATTCCTTATAGCAGTCTCACAGATGGCTTGGGGCATTTCCTGAGTGAAACAGATTACAGGATTGAGGCCTAATCTGTAAAATGCTTTGCATGGCATTCAGCCATAACTTGCTATCTAACTATAAACATAATCAACATTAGCATCTTAATATTCTATGGATTATTCTTTCAGCTATTATTATTCAGTCATTTTTCTGCGCATTATTTGTAACAATGAATGTGGTATGACTGGCTCTGCATTTATCAACCCTGTTGCTATTGTTAAAACTACTGAAAGAGAAACACAAAGTCACATCTTACATTCAAACGATTAAAACATAATCCCTGTGATTGAATTATATTGTTTATAGTCTTATCATTGCAGTAGAGTGGTTGAAATATTCATTTTAGTTTTAAGAAGAACAATGTCTGTGGACTTAGAACTACAACTGCAATATATGTTCTTGGTCTTTACACCATACAATTTCATAGTACAAAACACCTGAGCCTTTTTGTGTGATTATGTAGCAATTTTCATATGACACTTGAGTCCTTCAATCACACCAAGGCACTTGATAATTTCCCTCATAGAGATCTTAGTTCTACGTTACACAGAAAACAATTGCAGTCTAAGAGAAAAACAGATGGGGTGGCAGCAGAATAAGTAACAAGAGCTACAAAATTTCCTGCATTTGAAAGCAGGAAATGAGGCTTAGGTTTGTCCAGGACCCACGACTGAAACAAAGTGTTAAATTAATTAGTTATTTCTGTAATGTGATTATTGTGACTAAGAACATTTGGATAAAAATTGTTATGTGACTTATTATGTCTTTCCCCCCAAAAACTCATTACCTCAAATGATTATTTCTTTTTAAACATGCTGTTTAAAGGAGTATAAAATTGTGATAATTTTGAAAAAGATAAAAATCTATTTTTAGATTTTCTGTCCTGCTTATTTTAGGAAAATACTTGAACCCTGCTAATCAGAAGAAAGAAGTCCCTACAATGTTGAATTCTGATATCTGTCAATTAACCATAATGGAAAAAAGACATAATGGAACAAGGCTGACACATTTGCTGAGTGATAAACTTAATCTTTAAATATAACTATTACACAAGATGAACTAGCATCGAATTAACATTAGATTCTGATTTTCAAAATCATGAGGAGCATGCAATTACTGCAATTGCACATAGAAATTACTATTTATGACCAGTTACACATTTGTGTGTTTCATTAGCTCATTTATGCATGCAATTCAGGTAATTTGGAATGTAAATTAGACACCCATTTGGCAACGAAATTTGGGGGAGATTATCTGCTCAGAACCATATAACTAAATTCTTTTTAAGGCTCAAGGCCGGTCACTAGGATGCAATACTTTTCATACAAGAGATTTGGAGGAAATGAGGAAGGCAGAATTACTTGTAAAACACTGCCATGAAAAGCTGTTATGTGGTGCTGTTCTGTGTTTTCCATATGTGAGAAAATATGCCACAATGCCTTGAGGAACCCTAAACCCTGAAGCTCTATTTTAGCCCTAGGGAAAAAAAAAAAACAAACAACACACAAAAAACTAATTTATGAGAATATTTGGGAAAATGTCAGAAGGGAAAAAAGGAGTAGGCAGACATATTTAAATCTTTAAAATAGCTGAAGAGACACCTGCATGTGACTTCTTAGTGCTTAGATACTTTTTATGACTGATACATCACCAAATATCTCTGATCAGGAGAAGGGACAGATTGAAACAAAAGATTCTTCTTATAAATGTAGTTGAAAATAGTATCACAAGTTTTCAGAATAGAGAACAAATAGGAGCATTTTTTTAATTGAAAAATATACTTTATATAACATCAAAGACTGTCAGCCTTTGACAGAAGAAACCAGATCTGAAATAAAGGTAAAACTGTAGGAAGTAACAGAATGTTTACCACACAGAAAATTTATGAAACCAATCTACTTACACCCTAGGCTTTCTAAATCAGTGATATTCAGACTTTATATATGTAACCATGCAGTTGGAGAAGGCTGAAAGGATCTTTCTCTTTTTCTAGATTGACATGTTTTCAGTATCGCTCTATTTTGCTACAGCTGCCTTGGGTAATCTTGGACCATTCTTGTTTTCTGATAAGGTGGAAATAGTGGTGTGTATGTGCCACATATCTCTGATATTTTTAGATTATTTGGTACCTTCAAATAGAACCCTTTTCCTGGATGGTATGCAATGTCCTGTAGAAATTATGCTCTGCTGAATTCTAGAGGCCTAGAAAAAGCATGTATTGCTATTATGTATTAAATCTCGAACTTTTTCTCATTGTCATTACCTTTTTCTCCTCCTTCAGCTCCACTGTAAATCTTTTGGAAAGGGGGTGATTATTTGAGACAATCTCAATTTGTACACTAGATTCTAGTAGTAAGCAATAAATCGCATTGAAGTGTGTGTATGAGTAGAAATTTGCAAATTAGTACAAAGTACTAAGCAAAATGCTTTGTACTAATCTGGTCAGAAAGAAAAGAACACATCATTGTTCTCCTATTTCATGGCTGGTTGGTTTTTTCAAAGATCTTATCGTAAATCTTCAATGAAGACTGAATTTTCAGATCACCAACAGAAGAGAATCATAAAACAAAATATAGGCTCCTGTAACAATGAACAAGAGAAAGAAGGTAAAGGAATTTGTAAAGATAAAGGCATTGATATATAACATCTACTTGCATTGCAAGTTTGGAAACCTTGTTTGGTTAACTAGGAAATAAAGAACTAATTTTAAATTGTTATCTTATCTTTTTATGAAGCGTTCACAAGTACTTGGAAGCAGTGTTCTCAGCTTGGCTGACAATGATGCTGCCATGTCAGGACACTAGTGTCACCAGTAATTGGAACAGATCAGTTCTCCATGGCTACCTGAACTTTGAATTTAATATCCTTCTTCTTCCTCGGCTGCAGTCCTCCACACCTGTTTTAATTCTAGATTTCTTTTATTTTGTTGTTCACTGACATCCTAAAACTTCTCTGCAGTGTATACTGTTTCTCTGTGATTCTCCTTCTTAGGTCTTGAACTTTTGTTCAGCTCACACAGCTTTCACCTTCCTCCATTTCCACATTCACATGAAAAAGACTTTCCTTTCTGATCATCCTCCCATGTTTCCCTCTCTGACATGGCAGGGTAATGGCCCAGGAAGACACTGCAGTTAGACAAGTGGGAAAACAAAGGTCAGAGGCTTAGCTAGTTATCAGTGAATCTGTTAATTGTTCCAGAATAGCATGTCTTTGTCTTCTCACAAGACCACAGCACATTTGTGAGAAGCCTGTATCAGAATCCTTCTGGTGGAACGAATCTTAATGTATATGGTATATGATCTCAAGCAGACCTATGTTCTTTACTGCTTTGAAGAGCACTGTATCACAAAAAACATTGAACAGCATTGTATCTGAGTATGATTTTTCAAGTTATATTGTCCTAAAAATCTGTTCCTGTATCTTTGAGTAGGAGAGCATTTATCATGGAAGAGTCATCAACATTACCATTCTGATCTGCTAATGAATTGTGACAAGCTCTCAAATATCCCCCTTCCTGCCTTGACTGAAGTATACTGGCCATTCCTTGCCATCTTGATGGCATCTGTGATATTAAGTGAGGCATAAAAACTACAAAAAAAAAAAATTCTCTGTAATATCTTCAGAGGATCTATGAGGAAAAAAAGTATTTTCTCTAGGTCATTGAATCCTCTAATTACAAATTTTGCAGAATGCAATAAAGCAAGCTGCTGTGAAATGTGTTTAACTTCCCCCAAAACTCCTGTGGAGGCTAAATTTGCAACTGCATCTGTGTTGCTATATAGAATGTACACTATCCGACTATCTTAAGAATTTCTTGTCTATATCTCTGTTCATGAATATAACATTAGTGGATATAACCAAGAATATCTAAATTACTAAAGTCAATACAAATTCTGACAAAGCTCCCTTGATGTACAGGAGTGTACAAATCTTGTAGAAATCAATTTGCTTCTGTACAGTCTGTCAATGTCTGCCTTCTCTTCTGTACATGGATTGTTCCATAAAAAAACTCTGTTTTTCTTCTATTCTATAGAATCTATTACCCTTTAAAAAAATCGTTTCAGTGAGAGATTGTGAATCAAGACATAACAGAACCCTTTAAAAAAGGCACAATTTTTAAAATTTTCTCCCCATTTAGAGTATTCTTAATAATAATGACATGAGTTGTGGATGAAAATCCATTTGTCAGGTAATTTTTTAATCCAAGGGAGATTAAAAACAGAAAAAAAAAAAAGAAAAGAAAAAATATTCCTATTAGAAATATTGTAATACAATGGGTTAGGTTTAATCTATGATGATGATGATGAACAGTTTAGTTAGCTCTAATGCATTGCTATATACACAGCATAATAAGTTGTTTAAGAAATATGGGCCTTATAACTCCATGAGTCTGTACTGAGGACAGTAAAACCTTTGAAACAATATGAACAAGGTTTCAAAGTGAGCTATTTAATGATTTAAATTAGACATTTAAGCAGTAATTTCTAATGATTTAGCAAGGATGAAAAAACCCCTAAATCTTCACTGTTTGAGAAAGCCCTTGACATTTTCCTTAATGACATGAGGCTCTTCTGTACTACTTTTATTCTGTCATAAAATTTAAAAAGTTAAACAGACATGAGAGAAAAGCTTACTAGTGTAAGAAAAAATGCGTATTAAGATATGTATATTTTGATTAGGCATACTATTTTCTCATAATTTATAATAATACAAATTAAAATGTTAGAGTATGCTTTTGAAATAAATATTCACCAAACTCTACCTAATAAAACACAAACGAGTACCTCTGAAGATTACTTTAACTTTTCATAGTGGTTTTTAAATGTTAGAAAAACAATAGTCTTTTGCATATATTTCACCCGCAAATGGAAAATACTTACTGGGATTAAGTTAATCTGGGCTTTCAAAGGCTGTACTCCCATGTGTCTTTGGAAAGAAAAAGGAAACTCTTACAAAAGAGGTTCTGAATAACCTCATCATCCCATTATTAAAGCTCAGTTGGTTTGGCTCTCACTGGTAAAGGTGGTACCATAAAAAATCAGTTTTCCCCTGGGAATTTGAGTATTCATCATAATCACATTTGCATCATATTTACCATTCACCATTATCCAGTGGAGTTTCTGTTGCTCGTCTTGTTATGGAAGTTGGTCTGTCCTCTATTTTGACTTGTCGTGCATACTCTGGCTTCATCTCACTTGTATTCTTATTCCTCTGCTCCACACTGTGCTGTTTAGTGAGGGCAACATATGGCCCATGCTATTAGCAAAGAGTTCTGGTGCTTAATGCAACAGAGCCATGAAAAAGGAGTCTATAATCACTGCAGGAAGAAATAAGAAACATTTATGCAGGTCACATGAAAGCATTAGGAATTTCAAGCATGATATTTCTATTGCATAGATTCTGCAGACCTCAAAAATATCTCCATAAGCAATCTTCACAGCTGCCAAAGAGTGTTTCAGACTGGGATTTGAAAGCAGTTTTGAAAAAGGAAAATTGAGCTGGAGTGATTGCCTAGGTCTTCAGGGTGCGCTGTATCTCCAGTGATCTGTGTGCCCCAAGAGTCCTCTACTTGCCCAATATGAAAATAAATTGTTTTTCATTACTCTGCAGAAAAAAAAGGATGGTGTCATTTAGATAGAGCTTTGCAAATAAGTGCACTTCATTCTGGCCTAAGCACTCACCTGTAAGTTAGAGAGAGCATATGTGTGTGTGTGTGTGTGTGTGTGTGTGTGTGTGTGTGCACGTGTATGTGTTTGTGTGTGAACACAAGCAACTCTTAACAACTTTAGGAACTTTAGATTAATACTGTTTAGTTTCTTTGATCTTTCTCAGCCTTTCAGTAGTTTGGCTGAATCAAGACAGAATTACCTCTCACAGAGAAAGTAACCAGACAAAAAAGGACTCTCTTACCCCAGAAAAGGTGGTTCGTTTTTTATCTCAAAGAGACAACTAAGGTCAATTTTTACTTGAAATTTAGATTTAATCTTAAAAGTATGAGTTTCCATGACATCCTAAACTAAGCAGAAATATCTTCTTGCATTGTTTATTCATTTCTCCAAAAGCTTTATAACCCTTAGGAGATCTTATTTTGTGAATGGGTGTTAAATTCTTTAGAATTAAAAGTGCAACTGACAGGTCATTGTCAATCTCTACTCTAAGCAATAGGCCAAAGAGAAAGAAAACAAATATGATTAAAACTGAAATGCAATGAGTTATTTTAATATTTAAAAGGATATCCAACTCCCACTGAAATCAACAGCAAAACTTTTATTGTGTCCAGCAGAGAAAAGATTTCAGTGATGTAGGAAAAAAAAAGAGCAACTATAATCACTTCAAAATTAATAAGGAAACAGAATTTTAGAAATGCAGTTTGTGTTTTGTTTGAATGGTCTTTTAAAATTATACCAATGACAGCTTAAAGTGTACAGAACTATTTGGAGAAAAATTAAATTAAGTCTTATCCATAATGAAGTCACTGTGTTCAGTCAGAATTGTGGTTTCTCAGGAAAAGCTGAATTAATGTTTGTTTTGTTTTATTTTGTATGTCAGTAAGTATGCATGTGTATCTGCTGCTCCTGAGTTCTGCCAGGACTAGAATCTGTAGGCAAGAAAAGCTGTTGTAGCATTTCCCAAAGTCAGGCAATGAATATCCAAAGTCTCTCACAGGAGCTTTCCTCCTGAGATTTCCTGACAGCAGAGTTTTAGATAAATGCAGATATGCCTCATACAATGATCTGAACTTTAGTAAGCTAATGTGAATCAAAACATCTCCAAACTTCTGGCATTCAGTCCCACTAGTTAGTGCTTGCTACATGCATACCTTTCCACCAGAAGGAATCTGCTGCCGTATTTTGCTTCCCTGCTTACCTCAGTTTCTCCGATGGGATGGGATGAGCTGACAATTCCTTCCAGAATCAGACTTTCCATAAGAACGTGGACCATCTGGCGCAATATGGTAAAGAAGCTCCAAGAGGACTCTCTTCTTCCAGTTCCTGTGCAGCATTCCCATGACACTATGCCCCATAACTCATGTGCATCCCTAAATTTAGATTCCACTCAGCACTGGCAGAGCAGCACACTGGTCTTACCATGCCTGATTTCAAGTGCTGCGTTGTTAGCATGCTTCTGTTATCTCCCCTCCCACCATTGTCCAAGAGCTAGCTGCTCTCCAATGAGAATAACACAAACATGTTGTCAAGATGAGTGGAGGAAATTCAAATTGAAACACCCCTTTCTTGGTCTTCTTCTTGAATTTTACTTGGATTTCTACCGGCCTCAGTCTTTCATCCCTTATTAAAAAATAAATAATTCCATCTCAGAGGTTTCTTTGCTTCAAGGGCTGTTCTGTTCAATCCAGCCACTTTATAAGAAAACTATTCTATGCTTCTTTGTATTTTTCACCCAGGAATAATTTTTACCTGAATGTCCCATTCAATAGTACATCACTGCTTTAATTCACAATATTCATGTCCATTGGACTCCTTCTTATACTACATAAAGCTCAAATTCTGCATGGAGTCTACAGAAAAAAAAAAAAGCCTGACTAAATAAAAATCCATTGCTGGCCTTGCTACACTGATTCTGTCATGTACTCTTCCAGCTGCACATATCCCTGTTTCATTCTTGTAAATGTAGGCTTTTTAAGGTGAGGTCTTTTTGTATTCTTATGTCTCACACTGACCATGAAATGTGGCTCAGGGCTAATGCTACTGATGAAAAAATCCTGTTAATTACATTACTAAGAAACAATAGCAATAACAATAGATTTTTCAATAGTTAATTGCCCTTGAATTTCAAATTGTGGTCAATGCCAAACTCTCGATAGCACCTTGTGTTTCCTTGTGTAACCCACAATTTGTGCATATTATGATCCCTCTCTATGCAGTTGGCCCTTTGTAGTTCTGTAACTGTTTCTAGCTAAAAAAAGTAAGTGCTTTCAATTAACAGATGGGGTTGATATTTTACAGTGCAAGAGACCTGCCTAAGTTCATATTTAATTATTTGCTCTGCATCTTAATTTATCTGTGTACATATCTGCATAGAGCCCACTACATTTACTGCTTCAGAAATTGCAAGTTTTGCTGGTGTTAAATATACAGTTAATATGCAACATTCTAAACGTGAGCTGCTCATATAGAGAGGAAATAAATTTATTCAAGAAATGGCATTACTTAAGTCAGAAATATCCCTTTCTATGGTACCCATTTACCAAGTCCATCGTTCTCAGTTAAAGAAGTTTCTCTCAGTGGTACCTGTGAGAGGCACCAGTGGGGCCAGATGCAGCTGGGATGTGAATGGAAACTCAGTGACTGCTTCTCTCAGACCTGAGCAAGAGTGTTTGTGTTGCATTAGGCAGCATAATTGGGAAATAGGGGCCACAGGCCTTTAATACTTCAATGTAGTCATCCCACAGAAATTTCATAACAAATATAGACATCTCAAAGCTGTCTGGATGCTCTGAATAATGCAACTTGAGAGCTTGATGGAAGAAAAGTATGTCAGTGGGATTAATTGGTGGAATGACTTGGCAATAAAGATTCTGCAGCCAGGGATGTCATCATCTTTGCTTGTGTTATTGGCAGTAAAAATCCCTGTCTATCTTCCATACAAAGCTTCACTTCTCAAAGCTCCATGCCTGAGCTTGTGGTTTTTAAGATGCATATGGCTCTGAACCTTGCTATGCAACTTAAAGCAGATTTCATGTGGGTTTTTCTGGGCCCCAGAGGCATGCAAAATGCTACGAGTTCAAAGGCAGAAATGGTCTCAGATTAAAGAGAATCTTGGTGTTAGGACTTTAGGCTTACAAATTATTCTCATGCAGCATCTAGCACCAGAAATGTAAGAAACCAAAAAAGTCAATCTAACTCACCAGAACTGAGGCATTCAGAAAAAATTGGACATTACAGAAGCCCCAGCAGCACTTCAGCCTCTAGTTCCTGTGAGTAAAGTCTCAAGGAAGGCAGACAGAAAGAAGCTCTTTTTGTCAGTAAATTACATGCTTAATTTTTTTAACAGTTTTGATTAATTTGGGGAGAGTATGCAAATAATTAAACCATATTCTAGACATTAGAGATCTACATTACATGTAGAAATAATCCACTGAATGACTATGGATTATTAGGAGGCACAAGAAAGTGGTGCTGTTGAACAGCTTGTGTGAAATCTGAAGCTGAAGAGATTTCCATTTTGACCAGACAGACACAGTCCCTAGCACAAATCTCTGAAGAAGTGAGTCAGAGAGAGAGAGAGAAACAATAGCAAGAATATTAAAGTATACAAAAATATGAATTTCCAAACAAGTTAGTGTTGGAGGAGAACTACTCTGATGCATGATACACATGCCTAAGAAACCTCACAACACAGATGAATTTGTAGCTTGAAGTATAGTGTGCTCAGAGTTTCAGCAGGAGGAATTAAGCACATAACTCTGAGAGGAACATTCTGTAGAACGCATGTGAGAATTTTTTGAAGACAATGACAAGGGAAACACATTGAACAAATCTGTTTAAAGCAAGAAAGAAGTGGAGCACATCTATATTATGCTTAATATTAAAACCAATTGTCAGAAAATCAGGAGAAGTATTATTTGAGGGGACCCTGAATATTGATAAATACATTGCCTCCACAATAGGCAAAATAACTTTATTCTTTAAATCAACATAGACAGACTGTGGAATCCAGGTACTCTACAAATACAGCAATTTTTAAATTTTTTAAATATCAAACACACATATTTCTTTTGGTTAAGGTAAAATGTTGTAAAAATTTTAATTTTTTCCCTGTATTTATTTTTTCCATGCAGAAGAAAAGTCTACTGTGGAACCTAGAGAAGTGAAAAGTATGTTGCTTTGTTGTTTTTCTTTATTTTTTCATTATCTTCATGTTAGTTTTATGCAAGGGACAGGAGTATATTTTTTCTTGTATTTGAAAACATTCCTATACCTTAAATATTTTTCAATTAAAGAGAATACTCTTGCTTAAGGTTGCTTATGGTTCTATCTTTTGTAAGATAGTAAAACTTGGTTTCTTATCCACATTTGTCACACTAGAAGATCACAAAAAGAAAACTATATTTTCACTAATTATAGCAATACTCAACATCATGCAGAACAAACTGAAACTAACAAATTTGGCTTTTCATGGATGAAAAATTAAAAGAACACTTAGATTTGCTACTCTCGTACTGTTATTTTCTTCACCATCAAAAAGGGGATTCATTTCCCAACGGAAAAATAAGAATTATAACTTTCTCCTATCCTTTACTAAACTCTTAATTTTCTAATTCAGAACATTAATAAGTAATTAAATTGTTTTAAAAAGGAAAAAAATATTCTCCTTATTTCTACTGTTACCTAAATAACTGCCAGATTAGAGGCAGATGCTTTTGAAATAATGTCATATTGATTTTTAGATGGTGCTTTAACTTTCCATGAATAACAGAAGTCCTGTAATGACAGTTTCAAAGATTCAATTAATAAAAAGTGTTATAAAGGTATATTGTATATGCAGGTTTTTTTGTGGCATTCTACACTTGTTCCCAAGTACCATGTGCAAGTCTTGCTGTCATTCTGTCAGGTGTTACAAAAGAGACAGAACAGGTTCATGGCTATTGAGTCACCACAATAAACTCTTAGTTACACCAGTTTAAAGGAATAATCTGGTGTGCATGTTTGTTCCAGTTTTATCCTTAGCACCACATTCACTCTCTGGGTATTAAGCTGTATTTCTGAGCTGCTGGTAATTAAGTGACCAGCTTATCAAATCTTGAACATATTTCAGTTAGTGGATTTCCCATCCCAAAAACATATATACAGGCATACATAAATACATTTGTGTGTTTCTGCATAAAAGTAGCCAGCTGAACTTCAATTTCTATTTTTAGAGAAAAAAGAGGAGAAGAAAAAGAGTGATGAAAAGAAGACTACAACTGAAACTAAGATGAAAGGTACAGTTTGGGAACATTTCTTACTGGCCTCATTCAGCTTTTACTCACATTTCTGGCTCATTTCCTATTGCTTTCTGTAAGGTTAATCCTATGCTTCTGTGTGTATTGTCCTTCTCTGAGTTGCTCAGTCACTTTTTGCATTTGCATGTTTCCCCTTCTTCAGTATCTAATGTCTAATGTGTTCAGCACCCAATATTTCCTAAACCCATTATAGACAAATTAAATGTCCTGTTTGGTGGCCATCTCTGGCCATCTTGGTGGGCTTTGTAAACAGTTTAATGCTGTTACACTGCACTACACAAAACTCATGGAAGATATCACTCAATTCATGGCACATCAATTTCTGAAGGTGGGGTAGATCTATTTATTTTATAGAATCACAACTGGAACTTACAGTGACCAAACTGCAAAGTCATGGTATCCATCTAAATAATATTTTGATCATGCATTGTCAGAAAGAATCTAAAATTCACTAAGATGTTGCTTCATTCAAAATATTTAAGTCATTTATTATTTTTTAATGATCTCATTGCTACTGAAACTTAAGCTAAAAGGTGCCACATTCACGCACTGATGATTTTTGCCTAACTTTTGATGAATTATTAAGGGTCAGAATCATCCACAGTTGAGGCATACTGATTAATTTTCATTTTCAGCTGATTGCTCATGGCAAGTTGGGTGCAAGTGCTATAAGGGAATAATCTGAGCTCCCAAATAAGTCACTTTTTTCAGTATGAGCCCACCAGGACTTGGTTGACTGCATATTTGAGTGTATGATTCAAAGTTTTAGCACATCAAATTACTCTCTTTAATTAAATCTTAGAAAAAACAGGAAAAAAGGAGAAAGCTCATGAGAAGACAGCTGTCCCTGAAATTAAAAAAGCAGGTAAGAAATTGAACTCTGACTCTCTCTGAAGTGATATCTGACTATTTAGTGTAAGCACTTTCAAGCTTTAAGCATTTGAGATAAGGGTGTATGTATTTCATTATAATTCAAGAAACCAAGTGGAGATATAGCTAGATAGATACAGATGTATCACAGTATATATATATATATATATATATATATATATATATGCATTATGTCTGTATTATGTTATATTATAATATTCATATCCATATATTTAATACATGTAATTCTCTGTTCTATTATCTTGGGACTTTTTCAAATATAATTATTTTTAAAATAAATATAAATATATTTACAAATAAATTATAAACGCTTTTTTCATTCATACACTAAATTTATCAAGAGCATAATTAATTTCAAAGGCTACATGGCAGAGTCTGAATGGAAAGCATGTATTTTTCCATTAATTGTTTTACAAATGCAAATCATTTTAAGTAATAAATGGAAATATTACCCTATAAAACTACTAAGTGTAGAAGAAAATAGATAGTTATTGTCTGAATTTTTACTCATGCCCAGAAAAGAAATTTTTTAAAGTTAAAGTTATATTAATATGTTAAACCTAATTGATTTTTTTCATGCATAAAAATATAGATATTTCAATTAGATTAGAAATTAATAATTTGGGTCTTGTTACACTAAAAATTATGCATTTTTCTTCCCCATTATTCCAGTAAATCTGCAAGTATATTTAATGCAGAAATGGGAAAGTATCTCCAGTAAGTGACACAGCTTGCAAAACTGTCTCATTAAAATCAAGGAGATACAAAATGCTCAGTCTAGTGGTTGGTCACCCTCTGAATACCTAGAAACACTGATTCCAATTGGTGCTTTATCTGTCACTTTCTATATAACATTCTACAAGCCCTCAAGTACTCCGATTAACCTTTCTGTAGATTAGTGTAATGCCTAAAGCCATGGAGAAAGGTTCAAAATGGGATAATATTCAGGGCTATATTTACTATGTCCTCAAGGCAAGCCTTATGCTCTGTTTTCTAATTATTTAAATCTGTTGCATGCTATCAAATGCTGAAAGGCTCTATATCCCATTGTTTACTAATATTGTGGGTTACATATGCAAATTTCAATAAGCAACTGGTTTCTTTGCCACTGAATCCTATCTGGTATGCATAATTTTTCCTATGCAAGTGTTTATGGATGGGAAGAGAAATAAATAGTAATTTATGTTTGGGAAAATATAAAAATGCACGAGTTACCTGGGACAACTATCCTGGTAGCCCCATATTTAAATATGTATTTTATAGTACAGAGTTGTACACACTGGGGAAGGGATAGGGATGAAAGAGAATATTCTTTTCCTAGTTAAGATGCATATTTTAATGTATAAAAACAGCTTTAAAAAGAGCATAAGCTAACAATTCAAATACCTTTTGTAATTTTTTTTCTGGTTCTAAGCTTTTATTTCACTTGAGAGTACAGAATTGTAAAAGATTACATTTTACAGCAGAGCTGCAGCCTAAAGTTATTAATATGTTCATCTTCACAAGCAGTTGCTAAATCCAGTGAGTCATCCTACCAATGCTAGAAAGACACAAATTAGACAAACCAAGATATCTGCACTTTTCTGTCACTTTTATTAGCTCTGTAGTTTGCTTCGTTTTTGGAGTTTGCTAGCCTTTGTGTAAGAGGATGGTAATCCATAATGTATTCTAGATACAGGTGTTGCTGTTATTCCTCTTTCAGCTTGTTCTTTGAATGCATGTGCAGTTTCTACCTTTGATTGGCAGCACCCATTGTTATCCCTGAAATGTTTTGAGCCTGAAATAATTGCTATATTTGATCAACAGAACAATAGTTCATAGTCCAGTCTTTACATCAGGCACCTCGATGTCTGATAGTCTTTACATAATTTGAACAGACACAGAAAATCAACCTCTGAGCACTTGAATCAGCAGAGTAGATAAGCATCCAAAAGCAAAGAACAGCTTCCAGTTTTCTTAACTTTTCCCTTTAAAAGGCTAGACAGAGGCCATTGCATTGAAAAGAAACTCACCCTGGTTTTCAAACTCTTGCATTTCCTCTGAATGCCTCTGGTTTGTGTCTCATTTTGCTTGCCATAACCTTTGCAATCCATGAAGCTGAGGTGTTTTCAGGGCAAGCTGCCCGCACTCATCCCCATACCAGTGGGCAGCTCCTTCTGCTCCGAGGTCCTCCTGGCACCCAAGGCCCACTGCTGCTCCACACCCATGCATACTTTCTCCCAGAAGTCTCATCTCTGGCTGGAGACCTGTTAACCAGGCATTCCCCATAGAGGAACGGTGGCATGTACAGCCTGTCAGGCTCAAGACAGAAAGAAAGAGGTGCTCTGAAAGCACTTAGAGATAAAAACATCTCTAAAATAATGTTCTGAGAGAAGCACTTCTCTATATTCCTCTCAATCTCTCTTGCTCTAACAAGAAATGCTTGTAATTGCAAATGCTGCATATATTTGCAGATTAATATTTTAGGTTGTTCCTTTGGTCCAAGAGACAATTTTATCTCTACTGCTACCAGAATGGAGGTTTTTTATTGCTCTTCATTAACTGTATTCCTGTGATATATTTGTTTATTTGCATGCCGGCTCACTCTTTTTCCAATTCTCTCTCCCTCCATTTCTCACTCTTTCTCACTCCCCCCCACTCTCTGCTGCTGCAGAGGATCAAGAGTCATCTAATATGAAATGTTCTCTGTCTTTAGTACAGAGCAAACTGAATGATTCTTAATTAGCTATTAAAAATGCATTGTAGATAAAAGCACATTAATCCTCTGACCTTCAGCTCATACAAAAGCATTGTGTTAATTGTCCTGAAAAATAGATAATTCCATTGTTACAAACTCAGAGGTTTAACTTAAACAAACATAATCATCGGACACAAGGGTCTGGCACAGTCAGACTTCAGAACCTTTTACAAAAATCTATCCAGTGCTACTCTGGATAAAGAGGGAGCTGCATCTCCAAATCCCCCTTAAGGGGCTTGCTAAACCTTGGCAGATATAAGCCTTTGCCAGGCTCTCACAAAGTTTTTCCTGGTGTTTGGGACACATCAGCCCAGGGGGCTCCAGTCTGCAATCTGACTGAGAAAAGGGTCCCTCTGTGTTATAGCTTTGGTGTCCAAACCCACATGAAAATGACTATACAGAGACTGGTGCTTTCAAGCACTAATAGTTTTCTTGCAGATTTTTTCCTGATGGTCCCTTTCCCAGAGGCTGGAACTTCCCTGCTCCTTCTTGAATCAGCTTTCCTAGAAATGATATTCACACCAGCCTTTGTCTTTGACTGTTGCAAACTCCTTTCCTGCACTGTTTTGCTTCTCAAAACAAATCACATGAGTAAATGAGTTTATAAAGCAATAAAAATGTCAGCCTGGATCATCATACAATTTCCTACTTAAAATTCTGCTTCAAATGTCATTAATGATCTTCCTGTTATTCTTACATTTGTTTGATAACAAATCTTATAACTGCTTTAGAAAGATAGTGTCTTTTTCTCCACTTTCCATATGGGGAAATTCAGGTACAGACATACAGTCCAGGCCAGTTGTCCACATATTTATCTTCTGTTTACACACATCTTCTGAAAGCTGAACCAATGCTAGCTGGATTAGAGATCCCAAGTTTTTGTACACTTTCACTATTTCCCTTGTGATAAACCAGAGACATCAGACAATGCAGCTGATGTCTAGGAATAAAATGGTTTGACTAAAATCATATAGCCTTATCAGCAGGACAAGTGCAAGAATCCCTGGGTTCTGACCTTGGTGACAAATGTTTTAAGGTCATCACACTTAAGTACCTCTCTGAGCAGTTCTGGTGTGCAGATCTACTCATCCCAGATCAGGGAGCATGACCTGACTTCCATTTTCTCGTGTTGGTATCTGCATGCTCCCAACAGAGCCTACAAGCCCTACAAAACAGCATTGTAGCCTCTCCATAAATAAAGGACCTAGCTTGCAGTGGTTGCACATCCATTTTTTGGATGCATCTACCACACAATCACAGAATCATTCTGGTTGGTAAAGACCTTTAAGATTATTGATTTCAACTATTAATATGGCACTGCCAAGTCACACTAAACGGTATCCCTACATATTTGAATATCTTTTAAATACTTTCAGAACTGGTGACTCAACCTTTTCCCTGGGCAGCCAGCTCCAGGGCTTGACCAGCCTTTCAGTGAAGAAATTTTTTACAATATCCAATCAAAACCTCCCTCCTGTCCTATTGCTTGGTATCTGAGAGACGAGACCAACACCTGCTTGGCTGGAACCTCCTTTCAGAGAGTTATAGAGAGCAATAAGGTCCTACCTTGAGCCTCCTCTTCTCCAAGCTAAACAATCCCAGCTCCCTCAGCCATTCCTCATGAGGTTTGTGGTCCAGACCCTTCACCAGCTCTGTCTGTCTTCTCTGAACACAGTCCAGTACCTCAATGCCTTTCTTGAAGTGAGGCTCCCAAAACTGAACAGAGTTTTCAGGTATGGCCTCAGCCAAGCACAGAGGGACAGTCTCTTCCTTACTCTTGCTGGCCACACTATTGCTGGTGCAGGTCAGGATGCCATCAGCCTTCTTGGCCAGCTGGACACACTGCTGGCTTTTGTTCCATTGGCTGCCTACCAACATCCCCATGTACTTTACTGCCAATCAGTTTTCCTGCCACACTTCCAACAGCCTGTAGCACTGCATGGGGTTGTTGTGACCCAGGCACAGGACCTGTCACTTGGCCTTGTTGAACCTGATACAATTGGCCTTGGCCCATCAATCAGTCTGCCCAAATCCATCTGCAGAACTCACCTGCCCTCCAGCAGATCAACACTCTTGCGCAACAAGAGTGGTTTTGTCCACAAATTGACTGAGGGGTACTTGATCCTTTCATCCAGATCATTGATAAAGATGTTATTAAGGCAAACACATATCTATGATGCATGATACCATGTCATATGATTCACACCAGGCAGTGTTAGCAGAAGAGGGGAGTGGTG